TGAGGAAAGAAATGAGAGAGACAGAAGGCAATGTAGACTTTGCTTAGGAATATATGCAAATTAGAGGATCTTACACAATTATGGGTTATTGTTGTAGTGAGCTCCTGTGTACTGGGCTGTATTAGGGACTTCATATAAATACTCATTTAATCCTCAACAACTTGAAGAGGTGTTGGCTCCCCTCTTTTTTCCCTACCGACAAGAAAACTTGAAATTCGAAAATCAAAGTTCCCTTGTTCAAGGTCACAGAGCTAGGTAAGGGGCAAGCCAGAATTTGAACCATGGCTTGTGACTTAAAATACCATTGAAAATAGTTCATTGAGAACTACAAGTTGTTTTCTGTCTTTTCGGCTGTTTGGCTTTGAGTCCTCACCCCTTTCCCTCTGTTTTCCACGTAGAAAGACCTTGAAGCGGCTGGCTGTTCCCAAAACAGATCCTGTATTGACGACTTGAAATTTTTGCCTACCTGTCGTAAATGGGAACTGAGGTCTCGAAACATGAGAAACGGAGAGACAGAAAGCACTAAGTCCTGCCCTAAACCCGGCAGGTTCACGGGGGTGGGGGGGGGGGGGAGGCTGAGAGCCTTTTATGTGAAAACGATGGGTGCTTGGGACAACTAAAGCAAGGAATTCCAGATGAGAGACTCGTCCTTAGAAAGTGTGACGACAGCCACGAGAGGTGGGATTACTGACCTGCGGTCACACAGGCGACTGCTGACAGTAGAGGCCGCAGAGAAATGGGAGTTCGGGCGTTGAGGGGGGATGGGGAAGAGTTCCAGGAATGTAAGGGAAGGGCCGGCCGGCCCCAGTCTGAGGAAGACTGCTGCTGGAGGGGGCGGTCTAGAGGCGGCCTACAGACCCTTCTCTCTGGCATACGAGGAACTGAGTCTGAAAAAAGGGAGGAAAATTTAGAAAAAAGTGAAAATAGGAGTAACTTTCCTGAATTTTTCTCTTTTTTTAAATGATTTTATTTACTTACTTTTTAGAAAGAGGGTAAGGGAGGGAGAAAGGAGGAAGAGAGGGAGAAAAACATCGATTGGTTGCCTCTTAGACACTCCCAACTGGCCCACAACCCAGGCCTGTGCCCTGACTGGGAATTGAACTGGCAACCCTTTGGTTCGCAGGCCAGCATTCCATCCATTGAGCCACACCAGCCAGGGAAGGCTACATAAAACTTAAAAAAGACCTGTTCTGGCTGAGTGGCGCGTCATTTCCAGTCTTTCCTAGAGTAAATAAAAAATCAGAATGCCAGTGGTTTGAGCACAGGCTATGAACCAAAGTGTGGTCAGTTTGATCCCCTGTCAGGACACATGCCTGGGTTGCAGCCCAGGTCCCTAGTAGGGGGTGCGTGAGAGGCAACCACACATTTATATTTTTCTCCCTCTCTTCCTCCTTCACTTCCCCCCAATAAATAAATAAGTAAATAAATAAATAAATAAAATCTTTAAAAAATAAAAATAAACGTAAAAATTTTGTAAATAAAAAAATAAATTAAAAATCAGAATGCCTAAAAAAGAATCAGTGGCTTTCAAAAGGGTGAATTTTATGGTATGTGATACATACATACCATGTATTTATGGAAAAAGAAGAAACTGATTGCCTTAGAACATGAGTTCCTAAAAGCAAGACATAATGGGTCCACATGTGTACATAATGTACATAATTTCTCTGGACAGCCTGGGGAACTCCTGGCTTAACCGGAACCACTGTGACTGTCTCAGCCGCTCGTAATACCTAGCTCAGCAGGATCTGCTACTTGGTGAAATTCTCCTGAAAAGCAATCATTTGCTTTCAGTTCCCAGCATGAGATGCATTTTTTTTTAAGATTTTATGTATTTATTTTCAGAGAGGGAAGGGAGGGAGAAAGAGAAAGAGAAACATCAATGTGCAGTTGCTGGGGGTCACGGCCTGCAACCCAGGCATGTACCCTGATTGGGAATCAAACCTGCGACACTTTGATTCGCAGCCCGCGCTCAATCCACTGAGCTACGCCAGCCAGGGCTATAAGATGCATTCTTTTCTTTAATTTTTAAATTGTAGTCAGCGTACAATATTATATTAGTTTTAGATGTGAGATGCATTCTTTATTGGAGGTGGCCGTTAGGAACTTTCAAGATGTTTCAAGCAGCAGCCAACACAAATAAGGCCACAGTCGCCTCACTTTATCTATCTGCTGGGTGCTAGGAACATTTTGTTGTCTGTGAAAGTGTGGTCAAGAGAATTATCTAGAGCTTTCACTGCTTTTGATGGGCTGTCCCATCCACGGATTCAAGGAACCACAGGTCAGCTCACGTAACCTCTAGTCCAACACTGTTGTTATTCCTGTTTGAGACACTGTCCCCAAAGGAACTCTATTGCTGGAGAGTGCTAATCGTTGGATGATGCTTCCTTCTACTGAACCAGCCTCCTTTCACAGGAGGGGACAGGCCAGGCCCCAGCCTAGGAAGAGTTCCACGCAGAGGAGGAGTTACTTGCTTTGCTTTTGAGTTATACTCTGACTTAATTTTCAGACAACCACTCGTTTCCCTCCAGCATTAAAGACTTATTTCTAGTTTAGGATTTCATTTTTTTTTAAGATTTTATTTATTTTTAGAGAGGGAAAGGAGAGAGAGAGAAACATCAATGTGTGGTTGCTGGGGGTCATGGCCTGCAACCCAGGCATGTGCCCTGGCTGGGAATTGAACCTGTGATGCTTTGGTTCGCAGCCCGTGCTCAATCCACTGAGCTACGCCAGCCAGGGCTCATTTCTTTTTTTTTAACTGGCTACTTTGTAAGCATGCCTTCACTTAGTGCTAATGCCCCTTCAATCCCAGGCACTTGGCAAAGCTCAGCTTCACAAAACTCACCAGTTCAGCCCATTTCACGTTGGATTTGATTTTGATTTTTCCAAAGCCAATGTTGACAAAGATGTTTTACTTCCACATATACTTTTTATTGTAAAGTATTTTCTTTATTTATGACAAATGATATGATATGCTCTAAGGTCCCCTTCCCAGCTTTATTAGTAAGCAATTTCAGTATGCACTTCTAACAGAACTCTTGGAATACATTATCATACTCAACAAAATTGACAATAATTCTTGTTCAAATTTCCCTGATTGTCTCAAACTTTTTTTAAATCCTCACCCGAAGATACATTTATTAATTTGAGAAAGAGAGAGAGATGTAGGAGAAATGTCAACTGGTTGCCTCCCAAATGCATCCAGACCTAGGATCAAACTTGCAACCAAGGCATGTGCCCTGACTGGGAATTGAACCCATAACCCTTGGTGTACAGGATGATGCTCCAACCAACTGGGCCATCCAACCAGGGATGTCTCATAAACTTTTGTTTTTCCCAATCAGAATCCAAATTCCAAGGTTTTTAGGAACACTGTACTAGACACTGGGAAGATATATATTTTTTTCTCCTATTATTTCAGTCTCATAAGCTTTTAGTTGTTTGTTTGTTTTTCAAATCAGAACCCAAAGTAGAGTCCCATTTATTTGGCTGACATCTCTTATGCCTCTTTTACTCCATAGCTCCCCCTCTTTTTCCTTGCAATTTACTTGCTGAAGAAATTAAGTTACTCATGGCTTCATAGTGTGGAGTTTGCCATTTACATGCCCATGGTATCATCTAACATACTCCTTTGTGCAAAGGCTCCTTTAAAAATACATACTTAAATAACATTTAAATAGTAGTATAGGTAGTATGTGGTTTTGGCAAAATTGTGAAGGGGGTGGGTATGCGTTCAGAGAACACTGTTCTACACTGTCTCCTATGTGCCAAAGGGTAACCCTTCACACCTGCCATGAATGCCTTCTTTAAACTCCAATCCTGGAAACCTTTAGGGTCAGGGGAGGTGTGCAGCACCCCCCTCCACAAACCCCTCAGTACTGAGATTTTGGTACCTTTGGACGACTCCTTCAGGACGTGGGCCTGCCGGACCTCCTCCGGACCCAGTCGGACTGCCTTCCCTTGCCCACTCTCCTGCTCATCAACCTCTCCATCAGGAGCTGGCCTTGGGAAGAAGGACTACAACATGGGCCTGACCACTGGGGTCTCTTAGCAGCGCTAATAAAAGGACGAGTGCAATACATTTCTAAAATCCACTTTTAAATATCAGTTTTATTTTTTTTCCTCATTGATGTAGAAGATAGCTCACTGTAACAGTCTTGAAAACACACACACACACACACAGATAAAATGGAAAAGCAAAACAAGCCCTAAACAAACAACTGAATCACAACAAAATTTTGTCAACAATCTAGACTTAGAAATGTAAGAGGCTCGGAAGAGGAATAAAATATTCTACTTCTGTTAGTTCTGTCCTTGCACTTCTTCACGATTATTAGAAAACCCTTTCGTGGTGAGCTGGTGGTGGCTTCATTCAAGGGTACGGGGAGACGCAGAGGAGCCCAGTTCATCGGGAGACGAGGCATTACTGGTAAACGGAGCAGAACTCACGTACATTTGGCAACACTACGGCTTTTCTTTCTGAAAACCGTCTGTGGTTGTATGGTGGCTGATGACACATGCTTACCATCACCTCCACTCAGAGGCAGAGGCAGTGCTAGACGGTCCCGTCCCCTCCGAGGAAGTCACTCACTGTGGACAGTGTGCCTGGCAAGTGAGCGGAATGACCAAGGAGCTCCTCCCTGGTGGATGGAGCCTGCTGCCGAGGCACGGCCGCCTCTGATCGCAGCTTCCAGGCAGTTTTAAAATTTGCTTGAAAGGCACTAAGAAAGGAGAACCCTTCCTCATTGTCGGCCTCCTCTGTAAGAGAACTGAGCTCTGGCAACATGCAAGGAGACAGGCAAAGAACAGATCTGTGTTTTTACTCTGCTGTTTTATGGCATTCTTTCTAGAAGACTCAGCCGTCTGCCTTTCCTAAGCGTCTTAGACAAACAAGCATACTATATGCACTTATTAAAAATTGAAATGTTTACTTGGATGTTTTTGTAGCATGAAGACTAAGGGTTATTAAATAAATACTTAAATGCTTGACTCCAGAGATCTTAAAATAGAAGAGTTTAATGAAAAATTAAATAAGGCTACTATATTAACGAGCTAAATATAAATAGCAACGACTAGAAATTACCAAGAGAAACAAAGGCAATCAGATACTTTTGTAAGGGGGAAAAAAGCTGAATGTGTACAAAATATTAAGAAGAATAAGGAATTACTTTACTTGGTTAATTTCAAATCTTTCATTTTAACACATACGGGCCTGATTCACAATTGTTTAGTTTCACAAAAGATATACATCACCCAGTTTTGGCCCCTATAACTTCAGCTCAGGGCATCTGAGGAAACAGAGGAAGAAACTCCTTCCTGTCCATCATCATTTCCTTCTCTGCTAGCCCTCTCCTCTGCGTGCCAATACGTCTAATGACACCGATCAGTAAAATCTGTGCCGTAGATACGATTAATGCCACCCATGGCTGAGGAGTGTTTCCTGGTTGTCTTTCTCAGGGCCAATGTCCCCCAGGATACCACGCATTGAAAGCTCTACAAACATACAGAGGGGCAAACAAAAAGAGGCAGACTCAGTAAGCAGTTAGGGGTTTGGGCACAAGTAGAAACTAGCCAGAAATCCACCTGGGTCAGAGGGATGGGGTTCACTTCTCCCCGGAGGCTCAGGTTTCACTGGATGGGTCTTGATCGGTTCACCTAAGTTCAGGTGGAGAAGCGTCGCTCTTCTCTGCTAACCGAACATGCCCATGTAGAGCTGCTTCTCTTTGCGGTGGTAGCTGTTGAGTTCTGACTGTGTCAGCTGGAGGTACCGCCGGATGTTGGCGTCTTCGAAGGGGGCGAAGGAGGCAAGTCGAGAGCGTTAGAGCGTGACCTCACCGTGGGGCAGGAGAAGAGTGTTAACATACTTCCATTTTTTCTCTCATCCTTCTAAGATTCCCAATACATCACAACTCTTCCACGCAATAGTAAATCTCATTACCACCACTTTGGGTTTCTGAGAAATCTCTATACAGGTCTGGGCCGGTTGCTAATTTTATGATGAAAGGGAGTTTGACGAAACAGTTATTGTCCTCGCAGAGCCACCAAAGATACTATACCTGGGGGCCAGTTAATCTATGTGCTTGAAGGTAAGTAACATGGACAAGTGGCTCATATTTAATATCTTTATTAATTTATAGTGGCTTTCTCACTTAGTTAGTGAGATTTGACTGTGCTGTCATAAATGCGCGGGGACCCCCTACTTCTAGCCTCTAAGCCAGAATGCAAACAGGGAGACAGTGTTCAGTGCTGAGCCGTCAACACAGGCATGAGTCCGCCATCCCTGCCTGGGCCCATCTGCTTCACGATATCCTGTTCGCCTTGGAAACAAAGTGCCAAGGCTCAGATTCTGTCTCAGTAGGCCTTTTTCTAGGTCATATCGGGGGTTAGCTGAGAGATAAAGAATAAATTGATTAAGCAAAAGCCAGACCCCAGCTGGAGAGCTGGCAGAAATGAGGATTATCAAGTGTATTCACTGGATCCTATTTCAGTCTCCATCTAGGAAGTGAGACTTGAAAAACAAAGCTCTAAAACCTCTTTCACTGACGCAGAGCAGGGGGAGGAGAGATTACACGTGTGTGACCGTTTGAGAGTAAAGATTTCCGGAGGGGATACCGTATTGCTTTCCTGTGGTGACAAGCACATAAGAGTATAAGGCCTGTTCATTGTACACTTTTATACTTTTTAAATTTTGAGCCATGCGAAATGTAGGCAAAAAGCTCAATAAACTGCCAAAGTAAAATAAAACAAAAGCACCTTCCACAGCTCCCCCCCTGAACAGGACAATCTTCTTTGCCCTTCCCGCTCCAATCCCCTCCTTGCTCACCTTTTGGCTGCCTGTTGACAGCAGCCAGGAGGTACTGCCGAGCTTGGTCATAGTCCTGCAGGTGGAAAAAGGCCACTCCCGCCCGATACAAGGCTTTGGCATTATCGGGCTGCCGCTCCAGGACTTTCTGACTGTACTCTTTCACTCGCTGGTAGTTTACCGGCTCCATCTGAAGGAGACAGGCTAGTGGGGCCACAGGAAAGGAAGAGAGAAGAGGGAGGAGGGCCTTGTTACACCGAACCCCACTGGCCAACTCAAGGCAGCAGCGAACACAGAATGACATCAACGACAGTCACGTATCCAGCAAATCAACGTGAGTGTCTGCCCGTGCCAGACTGTCTTCTAAGCGTGGGATGCAGCGGCGAGTAAGAGCTTTACACACCTTCAGTCTACTTCAGTGTCTACCAAGTGCCTACCATGTACCTAGCGCTGGGTTAGGCCCAGCTATAAAACTGATAATATACTTTAAAGTTTATTTAAACCTCTTCTTCCTTGTGTCTCTTCTACCCGCAGGTCTGGGTCTTGAACATTCCACTTCACCACAATTCTTGTGCTGCAACGTTGTTAACAACTGCGGTTGCCAGGAATGGTATGAGGCAAAACAAACAAACGAAAATAATTATGCGAGGCAACAGCAAGCACTGTGCTATGTGCTTGTTCGATCTTCTCATGCACTCTGTGAGGTCAGTGTGTGTTACCACCTCCATTGAATGGATGGATGAAGAAATGAAGGCTCGGAATGGTAAGGTAACTTGTCCGAGATCACACACCTTCTGGATGGAATGAGGAAGACATTTGAACCAAAGACTCTGGACTCCAACATCATCATCGTTATTGACTATGTATTAGTTCACTAATCCCTTGGGTGATTTAATGGCACGTCAACATACAAATATGATAGAAGTAGTTTTTTTAAACTACTCCTAGTAATTTCTGTGGCTTCAGCCTGGACAGTTAGAATGTTTTAATATACTTCAAAAGGAGGCGATGGTCAGGTCAATGTTCTGCTTTTTTATAATTAGGACGGGAAACGTTTCCCTATTCCAGAAGTGTGGGATCACACAGGGCACTATTACAACACCGTGCTGGGCACAGGGAGTCCTGGCTGGTGAGATTGTTAAAGGGCTGATGTTTGCATCCCCTTTACAACATCACCACCAAGTGGTCACAGATTTGTCCTCAGATATTTCCCCAGATATGTGGTCAGCTAACCCATTACTATAGCTTCATTCACTCATTTGACAACTAGCTATGGGGCGCTGACCAAGGGCTAGGCAGAGCTAGGAACGGGATGAGAGGAACCAGACCTCCATCTTGAAGAGTAAATGGAGTTCGAATCCTAGTCCCCAAGTAGCAGGAACATATAATAAACAAACAAATTTTTTAAAGTACTTTGAGAAAACCAGCACTGCCTAAGAAAGAGTGAATGAGGTCAGAGTGCAGCTTGGGTACTGAAGACTTCTCTAGGAAAGTGACTTTTGAGCCACAATCTGAAGGACAAGGGTCCTTCAAGGGACAGAGCTTTCTAACCCAGGAGACGAGACCCTACAGAGCTGGAAGGCCGAAATGTACTTTACAAATTCAGTGTATGGAGGAGCCAGACAGTTTGGATTTTCTTCCTAAGTGCAATGAGATGCCATTGGAGGATTTTAAGCAGTGAAATGATCTGGCTCCCTTCTCTACAAAATGGGGATAATTGTAAAAACCTTGCAGGATTTTTGTGTAATGAGAGATATTGTAAATACACTGCTCAACATGTCATAAGCAGTCAATGGGTGAAAACTGGTAATTCAGTGAGTCTTTGTGGAGTACCGACCAAGCACCCACCAGCAGAGACTTTACAGATGGGTGGGCCACAGTTGCTGCCTTCGAGTCCACCTGGGGGTCGACATACGTACCCATCTCCCCAACATCCCATTTCCCTAATTTCTAGTCAGTTCCCCAATACATACCCTACTGTCTAATGGGACCTCAAAACACAAATCTGTTTAGGAGGCAATGTTAAGGCCTATCTTCTGCCTTTTCATAATGGAAAAGGGAAATGTGCAGTCTTCTGCAATAAGGACTTGGGGGTAGAGTTAAGAATTGCCTCAGTTTCACTTGAGCCCCACCACTTACTAGCTGTTTGACTGTTTCCTTAAATTCACCTCAAAGGGTTGTTGCGACACTGAAAACAGGTTAATTTGTGTAAGGGGCTCAAACAGTGTCTGCCTCCTGCATCTCATAAGCAGCCCCTCAGTGAACCCTCCCTGACCACTCTTTCAAAGTGCACACCCCCATGTCTGTGGCACTCACTGCACCCATTTTCTGCTTTCTTTCTTTTCCGCAGTACTGACCATTTTCAAAAAGCTTATACATGTTGCTTTTTTGTTAATTGTCCATCTCCCTCCCTTGAATATATGTTCCATAAGGGTGGGGAACCTCAGCGCCCAATAAAAATGATTGAATTTAAACATTAGCTACTATAACGGCTAGTTTTATTACTTGAGTCTAAGAGTAGCACTGGACACACACTGTAAAAAAGCTAGATTTTCACTGAAATACAGCTGATGAGTATTGGAGTAAAAAAAATATCAGTTTTAAACAACCATTACAAAGTGTAAAAACTACTCCTAATAACTTTTACGGCCTCAGCCTGGACTGTTAGAATGTTTTAATATACTTCAAAAATAAGTTAATTTCCTGGTTGGTGTAGCTCAGTGGATTGAGCGCGGGCTGCGAACCAAAGCATCACAGGTTCGATTCCCAGTCAGGGCATATGCCTGGGTTGCAGGCCATGGCCTCCAGCAACCGCACATTGATGTTTCTCTCTCTCCCTCCCTTCCCTCTCTAAAAATAAATAAATAAAATCTTTTAAACAATCTTTAAAAAATGTTAAAAAATAAGTTAATTTGTCCCATGGTTAGTTTGCTTGCCACAGAACAGACCTAAGAAGTCTCCCTTTAGCAGATTCATCCCAGTGATCCTAACTCTCGTCATTCATCTCCTCACCCAAAACTGTCTAGAAATGGCAGATAACTAGTTACCCAAATTATTAGCCAGCTGATTTACAGGTAAGAGGAAAACAAGGAAAGACTACCCAAAGCATCAGATAAGAATGACTTACACCAGCTGAAACAAGAGCATTCCTTCCGGTATTTTAAATATTAAAGAAACAATACTCTCAATATAAATTCAATATTCTCCATTGGGCGCAAAATTCCCTAAACCTATCAGCATCACCTGGGAGTCGGTTAGAAAATGCAAATAAATGGTAGGCACCACCTCAGATCTATTAAATCGGAATCTGGGGGTGGGGTTCAGGAGTTGTTTCATAAACTCCAGAAGTTTGAGAACTACCGTTCTATAGAAACTCAGCTAGAGCCCTGTAAATCGGAAACACATTTCAATTCATGGCAGAATAACCAGATGACAGCAGAAAAGCCCGTCAGTGTTTTTCCAAATGTTCACAGATTTTCGTGTACTTGCCTGGAGATTCTTACCCACCCTTCCTCCCTGTTCTTACCAGCTAAATTGTTGTAGCAGTCTGTCTGGGTGCTGTGCAGTATGTTTTCTTGTTCAGGTGTGAGAGCCGGGCCCTGAGGTCCTAGATTAGGTATCGGGGAGGGCAGACTTGGATCCAGACCCCGCAGCTGAAACAGAGCTCGATGGTACCTACTCACAGCATTTCGGTACTTTCCTTCCCGGTAACACTGGTTCCCTTTCTCCTTGTACAGCTGAGCCTCCTGCAGGCGCTTCTCCATAATTCTGTCGCCCAGTGCTCTTGCGGAATTAGGAAGCGAAAGAGCAACTGAAGCTCGGGGGGGGGGGGGGCGAGCAAAATTACTGGTTTTGGTAGTCGACCTAAGGTAGGCAATTACCCTTTTCCAGGAGGCCCTCCAGGGAATGAGGTTTGCTTGTTTCTACTACCGCCCCTTCCTTTCCTCTCTGTTATTTTTCAAACTCCAGTGGTGCAAGAAACTAATCAGTGAGTGTAGGAATGGGAAAGCCAGAGATTAAGTGAGTTTCTAAAGAGGCGATTCTGGAGTAAGGGAACCCGGAAGAAGCAAAGGTCGCAGTAATAAATCGAGGCAGGTGTGCGAATGCCGGCGGCATTTGCTTCCTTCTTTCTTTTGGACACACCTCCCTGACCTGGAAGTGGAAGAAAGTAGGCGGGGACAACTGCTAAGAGTTTAGACGGTTTCCCTCCATCCCAGCTTTTTATTTGCACATATTCAAGTAGCATTCTTTGACGTCTGTGCCGGGAGCTGGGAGACCGAGGTGAATGTGATCCGTGCCCAAAGGCCATGATTGGCCCGGACGATTGGCCTGGACGCAGAACAGTTCAGCTGCAAATTCTCCGAGGCCCGAGGCCAACCCTCATTCCCAAGCCCGGAAGTATCCCCCTGGCTTTTGGATTACGAATGGGACAATCCGGAAGACAGGGTCTGGTCTCTTGACAGTTCGTTGTCTAAAGGGTCGCGCGCATTGCACCATGCCGTCCAATCAGAAGCGGCCCCAGAAAAGTAATCCCGCAGAAAAGACCCAGGCTTTCCAACCTTCCCTGCGGACCAACACGAGGGGAGGGAGCAAAAACAAAAAAAATCCCCTGACAATTTCGCCAATTGGAAAAATCCGGATGATCACGGAAGACCAATCACAATTGCAGATAACAATTCAAGTTGGCCAATGATCTAGCTAAAAGGCGAGGCCCGAATATCTGTTGCTAGGTAGAAGTTGAGGAGTTGGGGGGGCGGGGCGAGGGGTTACTGTATTCCTTGGTTTTGAAGAGCCTTTTGGTTTATTAACAAGAAATGCAATTACTAGGAGGCTTTCACGTTGCAACAGATATTCCCTTCTGGTTTTTTAAAAAACCTCTCAAGAAGTTGCTGCATGCATAGAGAGTAGAAAGAGACTAGTGAGCAAGTCCCAAGACCAAAGTGCGATAGGAAGTCAGATGGGAGTGATGGTGGCGACCGGGTGGGAGGGGCTGTGGGAGCCTGGGCTGCTGCGCAACCACGGCTAAAGTACGGAAAGAAGGGCGCGCACACGCCTCCGTGCTACGAGGCACTTGATCCGCAGCCAGGCTTTCCCGTCTCCGGCTCCGGTGCGGCTGCGCAGTAAAACCACCGGCGGCGATTGGCCAGTACGTGAGAGGGGGGAGGGAGGTAAAGGGAGGGAAGTCCTTCGTCCTAGCCTCGAGCCCGCCCGCGGCAGGGGAACCGAGAGCGCAGAGAGAGAAATACTTTCCCGATACGTCGTTTTGGGCTTCGTAGGCTGAAAAGGGGAGCGAAACAGAAGGGAGAACCGTAGAAGAGGCTGCGCGCGGCCCGAGCCGCCTGCGTGCGTCCGTGCGCGCTCGCTCGCGCGGGCTCAGTGCTGGCGCGTGAAGCGGAGGCGGGCGGCGGCGGCGGCGCCTGCGCGGTCGGGCTCGGTCGTCGGTTCGCAGGGGAGGAGGCAAGCGGGAGGCGGAGGAGGCGGCGGCGGCGATGGAGGTGAAGCGGCTGAAAGTGACCGAGCTGCGGTCGGAGCTGCAGCGGCGGGGCCTGGACTCACGCGGCCTCAAGGTGGATCTGGCGCAGCGGCTGCAGGAGGCGCTGGACGCCGAGATGCTCGAGGACGAGGCTGGTGGTGGCGGGGCCGTGCCCGGCGGGGCCTGCAAGGCGGAGCCTCGGCCTGTGGACGCGTCGGGCGGCGGCCCGGGCGGGGACGAGGAGGAGGACGAAGAGGAGGAGGAGGACGAGGAGGCGCTGCTTGAGGACGAGGACGAAGAGCCACCCCCTACCCAGGCCTCGGACCAGGCCGCGCAGCCGCCGCCGGAGCCCCCGGAGGCGGCAGCCGTGGAGGCCGCGGCCGAGCCTGATGCTTCCGAGAGGCCGGCCGAGGAGGCCACGGCCGAGTCGGAGTCAGGTGGGGTAAATGGTGGCGAAGAGCAGGGCACCGACAAGGGGGAGGAAGAAGAGCCAGAGGAGCGGAGCGGGGACGAGACGCCGGGATCCGAGGCGCCGGGTGACAAGGCCGCAGAGGAACAGGGTGAGGAGCTGGCGGCGGAGACCGACTCCAACCTGCCGGGTGCGCCCTTTTCCCAAGCACTTAGCCCTGCACCTCGGGGTCTGATCCCTTGTTCTCCCTTACCTGAAAGGGCAAGATTCTCATCGCCACTTGGTGGGACTGCCCAGGGGAAGCGGTTTTTAGTCTCTTCGCACATTTCTAGGAGATTTGACCACCGTTGGTGGCCCCACTCTCTGCAGGAGGGAGGTTCTTGCTTAATTTGGTTCGTTGGTTGGTAGTGGATGGAAGTGAACAGTGTTGCATGCGAACTGCTGGTGAGCTACCTGTGGAGCAGCCTCCCACGCTGCTGGTTATCTTTTCCTAAACCGAGAATGTAGTGAGGAATTGGGGATTTCACGAATAGCTAGACCGAATGTTGGAGGCTTTTTGGCCCTTGGGCTGCCTGTTGAGTTTTTCGCCAAAAAATATTAAGCAGTAAACTAAATTCGTCAGGGTTCTCTGAATTAAAAGCACGGTGGTGTAGCTGGAGCCACACAGAATTTGGCAGTCCAACCTTGCTCTTGCTTTAGTAGCAGGGCAACTGCCTGTGGCGTGAAGGTGTCGAGTTTAATGGTTAACTAGTGAAGAGAAAGTCTTATCTAGTGCATTTAGAATGTCACGCAACTTGGCTAGGGGTTTTACTTTGCCTGTATTATGATTAAAAGGTAATCTTACCACAGAGTTGATGAATGGGCATTATTTGTACATTTGCTGTACACTTAGCCTTTTACATTCCAGGTTCCTGAGTAACTGAATTGAAATGATCGAGGTGTTGGTTGGTCCCTTGAGCAACCTTGTGTAAAGTTGCTCCCCCACCCCCGCCCCAGTTAGTGACCTGCCTTCCTTTGAAGTGATTGGATGGTTAGAGCCGCCCCATAACTATTTGTCAGAGTAAGGAGGGAAACTAAAGCTGCTTCTACTCTTACAATGGAGTGGGTTGCCTTAATTCTTTTTGTAATAGGCTGTTTAGGCTGCCACTTAGTATCATAGTATAATTGGAACCCATTCCATGGTAGTCATGTGCAACTTGAAGATTGTTTGTCCTATGTCCTGGAGCAAAAATCCCATTACATAACCTTTGCCTGAATGTGTATCTCACATAGCAGATAAAAAAGGTCAAGGAATGAAGAACTGTCTTAAATTATTATTAAAAAAACCTTTGTATTGAAAACTACAAAGGCCTAAGGAAAACACCTGTTTTTCTCCCCTTGTAAAGAATACTGTTAAATATACGACAGCACCTTTCTCCCCAAAAGTATGTGCAGTGAGGATGCAGTATTATTTATGGGTCTCTCGTGAATTAATGGTTTGCTCTTGCAACTTTCAGTAAAAACCCATGATAAAATTCTAGCTCTGTATCAGGCATCTGTGTCCACTTGCCATATAAGTAAACCTGTGGATGGCTGTGCATTTTAAAGCTGGAAAGGCACACTTTTACCCTTTTTAAAGTGAGTCTTCTGTATCACGAAGCTGTGGGAAAGTGTTAGAAAATATGTTTTATGTCTAGCTTAAATTCACATCTGACAATCAAGAGTCAAAATGAACCTATGAAGTTTTTTTTTTTTTTAATATGATATTGGTGGGGAAAGCTGCAAGTTTGACCTGATTTAAGCAGATAAATTTAGAATGCAGAAATCGTCCAATTTTAATCTATGGCTTGACTGTAGTTAGTATCCTTTCATAAAAATAAAATTCCAGCCAATGATAAGAGGAAGAGCTTTGTGAAATAAAACATTCTGTCGATGCAGTGGGGGCAACTTGGGTATCCCGATGGGGCAGATACTCAGATCGCCCTGTAGTTTCTGTTGGTTCTGAGCTGATTCTGTACTCCAGTATGAAAACTGCTGATTTTCTTTCCCTCCTTTTTGTAGGAGATGACCAAGATAGTGAAAAGTCAAAACCAGCAGGCTCAGATGGTGAGCGGCGGGGGGTAAAGAGACAGCGGGATGAGAAGGATGAACATGGCCGAGCTTACTATGAATTCCGAGAGGAGGCTTACCACAGCCGGTGAGGGAAACAGTCCCTTTCATGGAAGGGAGTGTCTGCTACGGTTTCGGTCTACCTGGTGTATCAGAGAATCTGGGAAGAGGGGCGGATTGAAAACGGAATAGGTTTCTTTATAGGAGTAAGTTCTAGATTGAATAAGTTCTGCCCCGAAAGCTCCCGTTGCCCTTTTCTCATTTACTGAAAGAAGCGGTCTGCTGGAATTTTATATTCACTGATAGTTTAAAGTCGACGTGATGCCATGCAGACACCCCTCAAAGAAGAGGGCTTTGGTTACATTGTATCTGCTTTTGTTTTGTGTGTATAGCTCCAAGTCTCCACCGCCCCCTGAAGAAGAGGCAAAAGATGAGGAGGAGGATCAGACACTTGTGAACCTGGACACGTGTATGTATAAGGCAGGCAGGTTGGGGTTTTAACCAATCAGAAGTGATTTTGGAGAATTAAAACGTCATGGCCTGCAACTTTTAAGAGATGTAGCATGTGGGAGACTTTGTATTCGTCCTTGACAAGTCAGTGTATTTGTATTCTGTGGATGGCTTTCAGGTGTTGGCATTAGCATAAACAGATTGCTTCTTTCCTAACAGATACCTCAGATCTCCATTTTCAAGTGAGCAAAGACCGATACGGAGGGCAGCCCCTCTTCTCGGAGAAGTTCCCCACGCTGTGGTCTGGGGCAAGGAGTACTTACGGAGTGACCAAGGGGAAAGTCTGCTTTGAAGCCAAGGTAGAATGTGTAGCTCATGAAAAGCATTCATTTATTAGCCCTGGCTGGTGTGGCACAGTGGATTAAGTGGCAGCCTGTGAACCAAAGGGTCGCCAGTTTGATTCCCAGTCAAGGCACATGTCTGGGTTGTGGGGCCAGGTGCCCGGTATGGGGCACAGAAGAGGCAACCACACATTGATGTTTCTCTTCCTCTCTCCCTCCCTCCCTTCCCCTCTCTCTAAAAATAAATAAAACTTAAGAAAACATTCATTTATTCAATTATTCCTTAAACTGTTGTGTATTGGACTCCTTCCCACAAATATTTTATTAGTGCAGAAAAAAGCACCACATATTAACAACCTTAGCTCCAATGATGAGCCCCCCCCGCCCTGGGTCTTTGGTTGAAGTGCATTGACAGTTACTGTTCTCGTGCTGAGTTGTGTAGTTGTCATGTTCAGTTTGCATAAAAATCTTGTCTCTTTAGCAAACTTTGTTTCTCGGTTGGTCAGAGTGTCTGAGGATTTTGTTTTGTTTTATTTTGTTTTTTGGTCTAGGTAACCCAGAATCTCCCAATGAAAGAAGGCTGCACAGAGGTCTCTCTCCTTCGAGTTGGGTGGTCTGTTGATTTTTCCCACCCACAGCTTGGTAAAGTCGCTTTAACTTCTTCATTCGTGTTTGCTACCGTGTGTGCTCACTCCGTGGGAAGTTTGAGTGTGGGTAACTAATTTTTTGACTATTTCAGGTGAGGATGAATTCTCTTATGGTTTCGATGGACGAGGACTGAAGGCAGAGAATGGGCAGTTTGAGGAATTTGGCCAGACTTTTGGGGAGAACGATGTCATTGGCTGCTTTGCTGTAAGTGCCCCCGAAAGCTGTGGGTTCGTAGCAAGGAGTGGGTAGAGGGCGCTGGGGGCTCAGCTGGCTTCCCATCAGTCGCTGTCTTTTGTGCATTCGGTGCAGTGCATGCTTCGTTGTGTTGTGCCACAGTCATTGAGTTTTGTTTTGTCTTTGTTTTTTGTTTTTAAGATTAAATCGTTGATTCTGTCAGCCTCAAACCCTGTAAGCCCATAAGTGCCCTTGTATTTTGTTGTAGAATTTTGAGACTGAAGAAGTAGAGCTTTCCTTTTCTAAGAATGGAGAAGACCTCGGTGTGGCATTCCGGATCAACAAGGAATCCCTGGCAGACCGGGCCCTCCTACCCCATGTCCTCTGCAAAAATTGTGTTGTAGAATTAAATTTTGGTCAGAAGGAGGAGCCCTTCTTCCCACCACCAGAAGAGTTTGTGTTCATCCACGCCGTGCCTGTGGAGGAGCGTGTGCGCACCGCGGTCCCTCCCAAGACCATGGAGGAGTGCGAGGTACGCCGCAGGGCGTGCCCATGCCCAGGACTCATGCTTTGGGGCCGTGGGGATGGGGAGGTTTTCTTCTCAAAACTCTACCTTCCTGGGTCAGGAGAAGATATCATTCAACCGGGCTCTTAAACATGACCCCCGCTGATTTTTTATAGCACTCCTGCTTCTGTGTGCTTGCAGGTGATTCTGATGGTGGGACTGCCTGGATCTGGGAAGACCCAGTGGGCACTGAAATACTCAAAAGAAAACCCTGAGAAAAGATACAATGTCCTGGGAGCCGAGACTGTCCTCAGTCAAATGAGGGTGAGTTGGCCCTGGTGGGCAGTCAGTTGGCTAGAGCGCTGTCCCGGTACGCCAGGGTCGTGGGCTTGATCCCCGGTCAGGGCACGTGCAAGAATCAACCAGTGACGGCTGCCTCCGCAGGTGGACAACAAGCCAGTGTTTCTCCCTCTCCCGCCTTCCCCCTTGTCCTTCTTCCTCTCTGTTTCTAAAGTCAATAAGTTTTTAAAAATGAGGATGAGGTACTGGGGGTTGTTAGTGAAATGGGAATTTGCCCTGGACGTTCCAAGAAACTCTCATCATCTTTTCCAGTGGAGTTAGTCTTTCAAGTGTCTGAGACCAAGGGCCCGACAGCCAGAAAAATGAGTTCTCAATGTATGTTAGAAGGAGGTTGCCCCCACCCCTACTGTGTTGTACTTCTGAAAGCTGATAAAATCTGGAATATCCAGATTAAGACTGGAAATGACTCCTGCGGGAAATGGACACCATTCATGACACTGAGGAATAGGGCCAGGCTGTTGTGGTAGCTTTGGTGGCAGTGAAGAGGTGACGTTTACCAATGACTCTAGGGCTTTGACTTGCTTCATACCTTCTTGTGTTTCTCTTCATTTTCTCTCACACTCACCAGATGAAGGGGCTTGAGGAGCCAGAAATGGACCCGAAAAGCCGAGACCTTTTAGTGCAGCAAGCCTCCCAGTGCCTTAGTAAACTGGTCCAGATTGCTTCCCGGACAAAGAGGAACTTCATTCTCGATCAGGTACTTTTCAGGCATTGAAAGGAACCTCACTTTACAGAAGATCCGAAGGTGACAAATCTGGCATCCGTTTCGTCTAATACAATTGCTCAGAGTCACCGTGGGTGCATTTGTAAAGAGAGACTGAATTAAGGAACGGAATCGGTTTACTTAACTAATTATGATCAGCTAGCTTTGTGCTATAGTTGTAGCGTCTTTGAACTCAGAGATACCTCTCACGAGTGTTTCTACCAGAGGGTGTACGGACCCAGACTGCAGAACCCTAACGAGAGGCAACGGGAGGAGCGTTGGAGCTCCTTCAGGTCCCTGGCTTCACCACGTGCTCGGGTCGTGGCCTTGGGCAAGTCCTGGCCTCTAGGAGTCTCCGTTTTCCTGGTGTGCAGAGCCCAGTGGCATCTGTCCAGTAGAGACGGAAGCATCAAAGGAGCCTGTGCCTGTAACGTCCCCGTTGGGTGCCTCATTTGTGAAGGATGCTCAGCGAGGGCCTGGGTTGCATTTGAGTGGTGATTGTTACTTCTAAGACACCCGTTGTTCCTTCTGCCCCTAGTGTAACGTGTACAACTCTGGCCAGCGGCGGAAACTGTTGCTGTTCAAGACCTTCTCTCGGAAAGTGGTGGTGGTGGTCCCCAAGGAGGAAGACTGGAAGAAGAGGCTGGAGTTGAGGAAGGAGGTGGAGGGAGACGATGTGCCTGAGTCCATCATGCTGGAGATGAAAGGTGGGCTAAAATGGTCCAGGTCAGGGGTCCTGTCCCTGGTCAGTGCGCACCTTACTAGGGCCTCTCCGTCCCTGGAGTGACTGTCCACGCCTCAGGGGCAAAGCCAAAGAGTACATGAGTGGCTGGGAGCACGTGTAGGCACATGAATAAGCAGAGGGAACGGAGAAGCACTAACTGCTTGGCTCGTTCCGGGTAAGAGGCAGCGGAACGCCGAATAATGACAACTCCCAGCAGAGGCTTCCTGGAGTCCGTTACTCATCTAGTAAATACTTAGAGTGTCTGCTGTCTGCCTGGGACTATTCTAGATGTAGGGCCATTGTGAATGAAAGGAAGCTCTGTTTTACTGAATTGTATTTTTGGAGGGTGGGAGATAACTATGATTCAAATTAAAATGTAGTGATCAGGCCCTGGCCAGGTAGCTCAGTTGGTTAGAGTGTTGTCCCAGTACGCCAAGGTTGTGGGTTTGATCCCTGGCCAGGGCGTGTGCGAGAAGCAACCAGTGAATGCATCAATAAGTAGAACAACAAATCCATGTTTTTTTCTCTCTTCTCTCTCTCTAAAAGTCAATAAAGAAATACACTGTTTGGATAGAATGATCTTATAATTATTTTGATTTCTGAGAACATATTAGGTTTGTGGTTTGTTTGTTTGTTTGCTTTGGTGTTTGATAGGCACCTGAAATCTCTAATGCAATACAAAGCCTAATAGTAAGGTCCCCCTTAAGGTGGGATTATCTGTCTGGATTGATCCTGCTTCCTGCTGTTTCCTTCAGAGGGTGATTTCTATCCCCCTTGCTGCCTTCAGCTCCTGGCATCCCCACCTGCCCTGTGACCACATGGCTCTTTGAATTCTGATAATGCCCAGGGACGGGAGCTGGTTACACAGCTGAGAGCCAGATTGCCAGAGTTCACGCAGAGTGAGCTGTGCCAGTCCATAACTGATACTCAGGAGCTTGGAGGAATTCAGTTCATGGAGGTTAACTGGATTCATCGAGGAATTAAGAGACCCCCTCCCCTTGCTCTGGATTCTGCTGGTACTCAGCCTCTGAACTTGTATTTCTCAGCGTCTTATCTAACCCGCACAAAAAACTTTCTCAGTTACTTTTAGCCTCTGGCTACCTGCTTCTGCCCTGATAAGAAACCTTAACCCAGTTTACTCTTAATTTATTATGGATCACTTGAGAACGTGTAAATCTACAGTTTGCAGGTAGCCCTGTGCCTGGGGCTGTTACAGCCTGGGGAAGACTGATGAAAGGACCAGCACCTCTTTGTGCCCTAGTGGAGGAAGCTTAGGAAATCTTAGCCTTCCTGTAGTACAAGTTCTTCCTGTAGTACAAGTGAGATCTTCCCCATCTGCGCACCTTTCAAGCCCACAAGCTTCTCTCTCACTCTTACAGCCAACTTCTCTCTGCCCGAGAAATGCGATTACATGGACGAGGTGACATACGGGGAGCTGGAGAAGGAAGAGGCTCAGCCGCTGGTCACCAAGTACAAGGAGGAGGCGAGGAAGCTCCTGCCCCCCTCTGAGAAACGGACAAACCGCCGCAACAATCGAAACAAGCGCAACCGGCAGAACCGGAGCCGAGGCCAAGGCTACGGTGAGTCCGGGGGGCCCCGCCGGCCCCCAGCCGCACGCAGTCGGTGCTTTGTGCTGAGTGGGACCCGCAAGGGAACCAAGTCGAGTCACTCACAAGGAATAAGGGAGGAACTTCTTTATGGAGCTTATTTCTTCCTGTGTCCTTTACCCCCAGCTTCTTGTGCTTTTTCCATAATCCTTCAAAAAAAAAAAGGTGGTTGTTTTTCCACAAAAGTAATTGTTTCTGAACCGTTGTTTCTGAAAAGCAGTGCGTGGGCCTCCTCGTTTGTCTGGTTGTCACTCGTGCACGCTGGTCTCCCGCGTCACGACTGCGGTGCACCTGGAGGGTTTGTGCGGCGACACCGGATCCTTCAGTTCTCTCTCTCCTTCGTCTAGTGGGTCAGCCCAGCTATATAGACCGCAAAGGGAATGCGTTATTCAGTAACTGGGGGGGTTATGAAGTAAATTGGGCTACCGGTGGGATTACTGTCCCTCCTGAATGTCTCATCTGTCAGCTAATCCTCCATTGTGCATTCACTGCCCTTTACAAGTGTGTGTGTACGTGTGTGTGTGTGTGTGTGAGAGTCAGCGCAGTGTGTGAGTGCCTGCTACATGCTAGGCACTGGGAATGCCAGTCCTGGAGGAGCTCTCTGTCTACACTTTGTTTCATGTGCATAAGGTGATGGGTCTGGGGTCTATGGCACCTGAGATCCTTTCCGGGGCTGAAAGTCAGTGATTCTGCGAATGGCAGTATTTACTCGTGTTTCTGACTGCCGAGTATTCTTCGCCATCTTAAATGTTTTGCAGGAATTGGGGGGCTTCCAAAGCAAGGTGGCTTGGTTTTCTTGTGTCGCCATTCCTCTGCCCTCCCCTCTCAGACTTTACCAAAAGTTCCTGGCTGGTGCTTTAATTAACATTGTGCGAGCCTGGCAGAAGCAGGCCTCCTATTCCCCCAGAATTGCCTTTGGCTCCAGCTTTTTGATTTCCACTCAGACACGGAGCCAGGACCCCACGCCAGCTGTCTGAGCGCGCTCTCCCATTTCTCTTCCAGTGGGCGGGCAGCGCCGAGGCTACGACAACCGGGCCTACGGGCAGCAGTACTGGGGGCAGTCTGGAAACAGAGGGGTGAGTGCAGCTCTCCTCCTGCTCCTCCTCTGGGCCGTGCTAGCCGTTCCTACTGGCTTGGGGGAGCAGGGGGGTCTGGGCTGTTTTCTCAGGGCTTAAGGTGTTGCCCATTGAATGTGTTTCTCTGGAAGAACTTAACCCTGGGAAGATTAAGTCTGTTACACAATCAAACCGAGATGTGTTTCACGTGAGAAGGGGGACAGAGCAGTGGATCGTGACGCCGGAAGCCCGTAAATCTTAACCCCTTCTCTTTCTCCTCTCTCAGGGCTACCGTAATTTCTACGATCGATACCGGGGAGACTACGACCGCTTCTACAGCCGAGACTACGAGTACAACAGATACAGAGACTATTACAGACAGTACAATCGGGATGTGAGTATCTCCTGGGCACAGAGAGGGGGACGGGAGGCAGGACCCGAGGAGTGGGTGTCGTGCCTCTGTCCTCGGCCAGCTGTGCCTCCCAGTGATGGGTTTCCCCTCTTTTCTAGTGGCAGAATTACTACTACCACCACCCCCAGGACAGAGACCGATACTACAGGAACTACTACGGTTACCAAGGGTATCGGTGAAGCCCCTGCCCTTGTCACCTGTCAGCCATGAAGCTGAATCTCTGGGGGTGCCAGGCACCCCCCTCCCAAAACACAACCAAGGAAAACAGGGGCTGTCGGGGTGGGGCTGAGCTGCCGGGGAGGGGCGGTGGGAGGGAGGGTGCGCAAGCAGGGGTGGGGGTGGGGGGGGAGGTGGAAACAAACGACAAAACTGTACATTTTTTTTAAAGTTTGTTGAAAAGAATATTGTCTTATTCTATAAAACATTTCAAACCTAGTTAGATATTTGTAATCAAAAAAACATTTGCTCGGAGAGCAGCACTTAGGGCTGCCTGTCCTGTACCCTGCAGCTGGACAGGGACAGCACTGAAAATGTCACCCCTCTGACATTGCACGGCAGCTGGCCTGGCGGCCACGCAGGGAGAGCAGAGCGCCGAGGCGCGTGGAGAGGGCGGGGGCGGGCGCGGGCACTCTCCACAGCAGGCAGGCAGGAGTGGGGCAGAGGGAGAGCTTGTGACTGGGGCAGTGAAAATAAACGATTGGCTCTTATCAATCACTTGCACCACTAACCGTTTGTACTTTTTTTTTTTTTACCGACCTTTCCCTCTTGGGATATCTGGTCTGGTGGGCTGGGAGGCCAGAGTGGCACTGTCTCCACTCTCCCGTGCCTTCGTGCTGTGTGGCTGAGGCCTGGAGACTGCCGAGCGGACGGTTCTGTTACGCAGGGTCCCCAGGCTGAGGAGGCAGGGCCGTGCCCGTCTGCAGCACAGGGCAGAGCAGCGTGCACGCCCCGTGTGCCCGTTCACGGGTTCCCGCCGAGGCCTAGGGGAGAGTGGGGCTGCAGGCCGAGGCCTGAAGATGGTGACCACCAGTCTGTCCTCTGTCTTCCAAGGTTGAGGGAGTGGAGTCTCTGAAATCATCTCTGTTTAAGAGTATCTGTCCTCTTCTAGTGCGAGAGAAGGAACGTTTCTCAGGGTTTCAGCTCACACGGAAAGGGAGCAGGATTCTTTCCATGGCAGCAGGATTGTGTACATAGGTGAATCCTGTGGTGTGGGCTCCCAGGCCCAGGTGCTGAGAATAGCAACTATTTTATACAGTGCGGAGGGCACGAGCCCTGCTGGTCTTTTTGATACACAGGTAGAAAGTGAATAGAAGGGGGGGTGGGGGGTGGGAGGCAGCTCACCGGGGCTGCTGCAACTTGGGAAGAGCGAGTGTGTGTCTAATGTGTGCATGAAAGGGGGCACCCCTTCCCGGCGTCTTGAAACAGGATTCCTCCGGGGGTGCTCGCCCTGCGCGTCCCCGAGAGGCCTCCAGCCAGGAGACTTCCGTCGGGATGGTCTTTGTAACTTTACCAACGCCCTCCCGGTTCTTGACCGGCAGCTTCAGGCGGCTGGATTCAAGGATAGAGGTGGGATACGGGAATGTTCTTTCCATACTTAGCTTCAGTTTTCACTCACCTTCCCGCTAAGCATTGAGTCAGCCAAGGGCTCACGCAGCAAATACCACATACCGCAGTGCTTCCTAGTGAGGGCCGGCCCTGGGTTGTGCTACTAGAATATGCTTCGCTTCCATTTCCCGGGCAGTTCTCTGTTGAAAAATTCTGTGCTGAGATTGGATCTTTCTCTCCCTCTCCCGCTGTGACCGCCACGCAGCCCTTCCCCGGGCCTGCGGGCTCTGGCTGTGGCTGTGGCCCTCCCTCTGTTTCCTCTGTTTGTGACACACCCGTGCCCCACAAGTGCCTCCCACTCCGAGGCCGGAGCGGGGGGCTGATAGGAAATACGTTTGCTTGCTCATAACGACATCTTTCCCCGGGCACCTGCGTTCCTGCGGTGCCGTCCAGTGGATTTGTGGGTGGCAGTGGGTGGCGTGATTGCATGAACTTTTCTGTAACCCACTAACTTTTTATTATTCTTAAGGGAGTTTTTTGAGAAGTTTCGCTGATAGTATCAGGGCGAGGAGATAAAAAAACTGGAGCCCAAAGAAATTCCCTTCGGGCAAGATCACGTGGTAATAGAAAATTGGATCTGAGGCCCGTTCAGGCGTTTCGTCCTCCGGCACACGGCGCCTCCTGCTGTGGCCTGTGACCCGGTCCGAGGGCGCTGGGCCCCTGAGCTGCTTTGCGTGTCTTGGGGGGAGGAGGGTTAGGGAAGGTACTTGCTGTTAAATTTGGGACACTAGAAAGTCATCTTTTTTCAACAACAACCAAAAAACTGTTTTTCTGGGTGGGTGGAAAGAAACTGCCACGACCTTGGTGGCGGAGTCCAAGAGATCCTCGCAACAACGCACATGTCTGGGCTTTTGTTTCTGTCTTTCTATTATTTAAAAAATAAAAAATAAAAACATGTTAAGGGGACAAATGTGGATTAACAGGAGGGATCCCTAGCCTTGTTTCCCTTAGGAGACGTGTTCCGTGTTTCATCAGACGTCTGTTGTCGTTGTTGTAGACGGAAACGTTTGTGAGAAGAACAGACATCACATGGAGCCTGTACATGTTTTCGCACAACCTGTAAAGCATTCTTGGAAGTGGCCAGTAAAAAAGGGTTTTACCATTTTAAAAAAAAATGTAACTGTGTCATTGTTTACATCTGTAACTTTTTCCTCCCATGTTCTCATGACAACATTCTGGCGACTATGTAGGCACAGTAGCTTCCAGTTTTAGAATAAATAACCATTTGGATTGAATTCACTCTTTTATCTCCTGTGGCTGCACTGACTGGGGTGGAGCGTGTCATCTGGGGGATTCATTCATTTACTTTTGGCGCCGCTTCGAGCTGCCCTGGGTCCAACCAAGGCTGGCTCTCCTCCTGCACGGCCGCCACTCCCTCCCTGTGTTCCACCATGATGGCATTTGGGGGTCGTGAGCCTGCTCGGTGCTTGCTTATGCTAAAAGCGTGAGCCATTGGAATGGAAGGGAATGCACTATGTCATGACCTCTGTGTCTTTGGCCTGTACTGAAACCAGCTGGGTGCTCGAAGTTAAGTGTAAGGTTCTATTTCCGGGCCAAATTCATGCGCAGTTACCATTCAGAGGAAAAGCCTGCTCATTCAACAGAAAATGTTTGGTGGGGGTTATTTCCTAGTGAATTTGGAGAATGAGAAGGTAACTAATTATTAAAAGCACTGTTGCATTGCTAGCACTAACGGATTCTAATTGTAATTTCTAACAAGTGGTCAAGCACTTACCGAGGCCGGGGCACCACAGGCTGGTGGCAGTGCGGTGTTCTGAAGGAGCAGTGATGTGGGTCGAGGTGCTGCTCCAGTGTCTCTCTGCATGACACAGGTTCAGACCCCAGGGGCTTGTACCCCAAAGGGTACCCTTGCTTGCGGTTTCTGCCCACTCTAGGATATTTTAAAGTTATTCAGTGTTACAGCTAATTAATCATTTTTAAAAATATCTATAGCTCATGCCTTGTTTCTTAAGCCCCCCTTTTCCCCAGCTATGGTTGCAGCAGTATGAAATTTGAGTATGCAGAAAAATTGCCCTGGCTGGTGTAGCTCAGTGGATTGAGCTTGGGCCTGCGAACGAAAGAGTTGCTAGTTCGATTCCCAGTCAGGGTACATGCCTGGGTTGTGGGTCAGGTCCCCAGCTTGAGGCATGTGAGAGGCAACCACACATTGATGTTTCTCTCCTCCCCTTTCTCCTTCCCTTCCCTTTTCTCTAAAAATCCTACAAAAGAGTTCCCGTAAGACTATCAGCTGGTTTCTCAAAACAAAACTGATTTCTCAAAACAAAACATTGAGCCCTGGCTGGTGTGGCTCAGTGGACTGAGCGCCGGTCGGCAGGCCAAAAGGTCACTGGTTCGATGCCCAGTCAGGGCACATGCCTGGGTTGTGGGCCAGCTCCCTGGTGGGGGGCGCATGAGAGGCAGCCAGTCAATATCTCTTGCACTGATGTTTTTCTCATCTTTCTCCCTTCCCCTCAAATAAATAAAATCCTTTAAAGCAAATGAGCGGAGGCTTTAATCTATCTTAAGATTACATTTATTAAGCACTTCTGGCTTTTTACCAAGTCTGAGCTGACATGGAAATTTTCACTCAGGACAAACACTGTCATCTATTAGGAACAGAGGGAGGTTCTCCGGGTCGGGTCTGCCCTGCTTGCCATTTGAGCAGGTGTAGCACACCCCAGTGTTAGGAATTTGAGGGCTAGCTGTGTGCCAGACGCTGTCAGAATGCAGGGGTTTTCGCGAAGCACCCAAAGGGAACTAGGCCAGCTCCTGAACAGACAAGGGTTAGGTTCCCACTTCAGGAAGGCAGCCTGGTTCCTTTCCCAGCTCCCTCCCGTCTTCCTGTGTGAAGGTGTGGGGAACCCCGGGGGGTGATGGGCTATCTATATAATACAGGTCATCCTCCTACTTCTAAAGGCATCCCCTTGCCCCCCAACCCCCTGCCAAAAGTATCCAGGCACAAAACATCAGCTGGCCTAGGCTTCCGCCCGGGGAAGGATGTATCCCTGAGTTTGGGGGGTCTTGACAATCCATAGGAGCAGACATCATGGGACTGTTAACCTTCTCTGCCTCGACCCTGGTCCCACCTCAGTATGTTCACCCTTGGGAGGAAAAGGCTTCTAGAAAGGCATTCTGAGGCATATAAGCCTGCCAGGTTTGAGCCCTGAGGCGCTCGTGAGACGTGAAGTCTTAGGTCTGGCCTCTGGCCAGGCAGCATGTTGCACCACTACACGGGTCGTAAGCACACTGGGGGCGGGAAATCTCTTCTTGAAAATGCTCCTGAGCGGGGGGTGGAAACAGCGTGAACACCAGTTCCCCGAAAAAATCCTGGGGCTTATCCAACTCCTAGGGACAGAAGGTAACGAGGAAAGGCACCCCGAAATGAACGGCGCCAATGTTGACGGCACACTTCCGTTGACGCTCCGAAGGGTGCCTCTATTCTGCAATCCAGAAACCTAGGCTGCCTCCTCGCAAGATCTGCACGACCAGAGCCTGCTACGCAGTGCTTGGTGCGGTCGCCCCTCCCATGATCCTAGGCTGTAACCTCCCGTGTGCCTTCATCCGGATCTTGGGGACATGGTCTTCCAGACTCTGGGAGGAGGTGTGGGAATGGGTATCATGTTGGCGAGGGCGGGGCAGCCATTTTGAGGCAGATCAGACGAGCACGGAAGGGACCATATTGAGAACTCTTAGCTGCCTGGGGCCGCCATTTTAAGTTTGGGGTTGGCGGAAAAGCCCTGAACGGTGAAACGCAGTGACGCAGGGCTGCCATATTGGCGCTGGTCCCGTGGCGGCGGCCATCTTGGAAAAGGGCCCTCTGTGGGCGCGGCCATCTTATAAGTAAGACCGGCCCCTTTGCAGGAACTAGAACCGAGCTCCTCCCCTCCGTGCTGGGTTCCTCTTGTCTGCGGCTGCCTTCCCGAATACCTCTTTAAGTCCACCCCGTTCGGTCTGTTTTTAGTTTCACTTGCCTTCATTGTTCACTACCCTCGTGTGTGTGTGTGTGTGTGTGTTTTCTCTGTAGCCTCTGAATGTCTAATGTAACTTAATCCTTTTACTTGAGATGCTCTCTCGCGGCTGCTGTCCCCCCAACCCCACCGATCTCCGATCCTAGACACTGTCTAACCTGCTTTGACTGGCCCTATTCTCTGTGGCAACCTTTCAACTGCCACACCCACACCCACACCCACGTCTAATGACTGATGATCCTCTCCCCCAAGAACTGTAACACAGGAGCTGTACCTCTGAGACTATGGATGATTTTATTCTTCAAATGGCTTTACCCTTCCAATAGCTCCAGGTGAGACTGGGAGCAAGCACCCAGCCCATCCCTCTCTCCATTGTGTGAGTGGGTCACAGAAGGAAGCGGGCAGGAATCTGGCAAGAGTCTGGTGGCCCTGTTGTGGGAGGGGCAAAGGGTGCCCCCGGTGGGCGTGGAAGTGGGGGTCGACAGATAGGTGAGGGGAGGGCCTTGTGCTTCAGATAACCTCACAGGTTTAGGCAAGGGCCAGGAAGAGTATGCAAGGGACCCTCAAGGGCTGATGACAGTTACCGACCTAAGGAAGGGCTCACGAGAGGATAAGGTGAGTTGTGAGCGGGACCTGGCAGCTCAGAGGAGGGCACAGAAGAACTTCTTCTCCCGGAAGGGGTTCTCCGAAGTGGGCACAGGGGTGATGAGGGGATCCTCACAGGCGTGGGCATCACAGTAAGTCATCAGGTCTGCTGCTGCCTTGGACACCTGGGGCACAGCCAGGAGGGAACTATTAGCCAACCAGAACCCCTGAGAGGGACTGCAGTTTCCCTTCCCTTAAGACAGTCTTCCAGTCCCTCATCCCCCACAGAGGCCTGGGGACACCTCTTCTAACAGAGCCTGGGACTCCTTCCCTGATCTCAGGGAGTCAAGTGGTGTGGGGAAGCATCTTTTATTCTGAGGTTTGGGAACATACAGCACAGCCAGGCCAACTAAGGGGACTCAGGGTCCCACCCACCTTTATCCTGCACAAGCTGGCCTCAATCTTAAGCTGTTCCACCATCTTGCGGGCTTGCCCAATACTCATAGTGCTGTTCACAGGCGTCTCCCCTTTCATCCTGGAGAAAAGAGAGGGACAGCTCAGAGCAATCTCAACCGCAGGCCCCCTCCATGCACACTCGTCCAGCCTTTATAAGGTTGGGGCCATGTGCCCCGATATTTTGTTTTCTTATTCCCATCCTCCAGTGGACTTTCCCATCCCGGTCTTCCTCAGCTGAGGAAATGAGCCCAGGCCACAGATCATTAGACATACAAATGATTTAAGGCTGTTCAGCTGTCAAGCCATGTGTTCGCAGCTCTTTTGGAAGCCTCACCCAGAAGGAGCCCCGCCCTGATGGGGAGGGTACATAATCCCCACCTGCCCCCTTGAGCCCCAACAGGGAAAAGCAAGATGTTCCTGACTCACCTGAGGCCACAGGCAGCCGAAGCCCTGGGGAGCAGAGTCAGTGGGGTACACGAAGACCTTCTGCCTGAGATGGGTGCCCACCTTGCAGGGAGTTGCAGCTGAAAGTGCCTGATGCAGCAGCAGAAGCTGCTAATACAGAGAAGGCCACTGGGTGGGTCCGGTCAGTGGTCTGCGGAGGGCTGGTCCCAGTTTCTGCAGCTCAAGCACTGCCCAGACAGCTGGTACCTGCAGATGAAGGATGCTAGAAGGAGCTGTTCAGATCCTGGAGCATACCAACTGCCTGGCCAGTGGGGGAGCCTGGCTGCTGCCTGCAGCCCCTGTGCACACTCCCACTGTTACTGTCTCAATATCTGCCCCTCCTCCATTGTACGCGTTCCGAGTCGCCTAGAGCCCTCCCCAGAGGAGCTGAAGCGCAGGCAGACTTCCCCCTCAAATGGGGTGGTCTGGACCTGTGACAGCCCCTGCAGTGGAGTCTGTACTGGCTGTGGGGTACCCTGCTCATTTGAAAATCTGACATCAGCTGGGCAGTGGCCCCCATCATCCCCCTCCTCCCTCTACTCTGACACAGCAGTTATCACATGAATCTTCGTTTCTCTCCCAGGGACCCTCCGTTCCCCATATCCAGGAAAATGTGACGAGCTACAGGTATCAGCTTCTGGATCTCCACTTCGTGTTCTAGCTACAAGTGATTCGAGCGCAAGATCCAGGGGCAGCGAGGTACGTCAGGAAAATATCTAAAGAAATGGCAGACCAAAGAGAAGAATCTGGGGGGAAAGAGGTGCTCAGAGACCAGATCAAAGAATCGGACAAAGAAGAGGTAGGGTGCATTGTGGGGAGAGTCCATGGATGTTTCTGGAAATAGATGGGCTTTTGGGGTGGGGGGTGTGGGAGTACTGGTCTAAGAGCATCGTTGTGCTTGTTGCTTTGGGGGTGTAAAGATGCCCACCACACTGACCTTACCCCCTGAGAGCTCTTTAAGTAATTTTAAATATTTTTTAAAAATTATTGATTTCAGAGAGAATGGTGGGCGGGGGAGAAGCATTGTTGTGAGATAGGAAGAGAGAGAGGGAGGAGAGAAGCATGGACGTAAAACATCGGTCAGTTGCCTCCATATGAGCCCCCCACCGGGAATGGAACCCACAACCTTTTTTGTGAACGGGAAGATGCTCCAGCCAACTGAGCCAGCTGGCCAGGGCACTCTGAGCGCTCATATCTGGAGTGAATATAGACATACAAAAATAAAAGGCACAGCCTTCCAAGACCTTGTCTAGATAATGGGCTGTGCGGACTCTGAAGGAGTCTAGTTAGGGTCGGAGGAAGTTGATCACGCATCGCTAAAGCTAGAGGAAAAAAACACCAGGCTGAAATGCTTGTGAACACGGCACAGCCAGAGCGTCGGCGCTACGCGCAGGATGCACAGGTTCCTGCAGACTGCAGTGCTCTCTGGGCGAATACTGTCTATCTTGGATGCCTACAGGCCCAAAGAGCTGTGGGCGAAAAGGTCAGCGCCAGCTGGGTGCCCTTCTCTCTCTCCCTTTTTGGGGGTTAAATGGCCGGTGGTGCAGGTGTGGGCGGCTGTGATTGCGGCCTCGAGAGGCAGGCCGAGGTGGGTGCTGCTGACTCATAGCATGTCCCGGGAATGTCTTGGGTCTTGGAGGGAGGTGCCCATCTCCTTTGGTCGTGGTAACAGGAGGATGGACGGACAGGGACCGCGGAGGAGGAAGAGCGAGGAGTGCGCGGAGGTGGGAGCTCCGCAGTCTGAACAGCCGGGCCCCTGGGCCTAGCTCCGCCCACTTTTGGACCCCTCCCCTGGGCTAGGCCCCGCCCCGGGGCTACATTGGCTGTCTACGGAAGGGGGTGGGGCGTGCCCGGGAGGCGGAAGTCCCTCTCGCCGTTGCCCCAGGCAGCGCGAGATGCTGGTAAGTGCAGAACCCTGGCAGCTGGCGAATTGGCTTTTTCTACAGCGGAGTAATTAAGCGGGGGCTCCAGGTGCCGCGTCCACCCGCGAGCCGTAGGGGGTTGGTGCGGAGCAGCCGTAGTCTGCAGAACGCCCTGCCTGTGGTGAGGCGCAGGCGGGTCAGGGAGCGAGTGCGGCTCCAGAACCAGAGGAAAAACTTGGGAGGCAGCTGTGACTGCGCTTCCGCTGCTTGCTTTGAGTCTGGCTGTGCAACTTTAGGCACAAGTCACTTCACGCTTTCTCTCAGTGCAGTACTTCGCAGTGTGGATTCAGTGTCACCGTGTGTGTGAAAACTCCTTAAGAATTTTAAGGCGCTCGTTCTCTGTATGTTTTGTGTTGCTGTGATTGAGTAGCAAGGCGGCCTGTCCCACAATCAGGTGGCAAGAGGACCAGTTCAACTAAGGAGCTCTGGCACTGGGGGTGAACAGAGCACAGTGGAGGAAAGGGAAGGGATAATTGGCTGAGACACACAGTCATATGGAGAAAGGCCGTATGAAACAAAGACTCTGCTGTCTCTAGTTCCTCAAAGTCAGCCCAGTAACCTATCCTTTTGTCCCCACCAACCCCCAGAAAAAAGCTATTCTTTCCTCCTCTCTATTTTTTTCCAGGAACCACCATCTGCCTCATCTCATGGCCAGGGATGGCGTCCAGGTGGCAAAACAGCTAGGAACTCGAAGCCCGAACCTGGGGCCAGACCCGCCACACCTGCTGCCGTGGTCAATGACCCGCCAGTACCTGCCTTGCTGTGGGTCCAGGAGGTGGGCCATGTCTTGGCGGGCCGTGCCCGCAAGCTGCTACTGCAGTTTGGGGTGCTCTTCTGTACCATCCTCCTCTTGCTCTGGGTGTCCGTTTTCCTCTATGGCTCCTTCTACTACTCCTACATGCCGACAGTCAGCCACCTCAGCCCCGTGCATTTCTACTACAGGTGAGAGGGGTCCTCCATCTTAGTAGAGGAATCTGTGGGAGAATTGCTGCAAGGCCCCTTAGGGCTTATTCAGTTCAACCCCCTCGTTTGCAGAGGAGGAAACTTGGGCCCTGTGTGCTTTTGTAACTTCTTACCTTTCACAGCCCCAGGTTAAAAAGCAGGTTTCGGGGAGAGGGTGGGCTGGGATGGGGGTAAAAGGCAGAAAACTACTTGAACAACAATTTAAATAAAATAAAATAAAATAAAAATCAGGTTTCAGGTGATAGGGGTCTAGTATCCTATTTCTACTTCTGGTTAAAAGAATTTAAAAAAAAATTGCAGAGTTCTTTTTTTTTAAGATTTTATTTATTTATTTATTTTTAGAGAGGGAAGGGAGGGAGACAGAGAGAGAGAGAGAAACATCAGTGTGCTGTTGCTGGGGGTCATGGCCTGCAACCCAGGCATGTACCCTGACTGGGAATCGAACCTGAGACACTTTGGTTCGCAGCCCATGCTCAATCCACTGAGCCATGCCAGCCAGGGCCCAGAGTTCTTTTTTTTTTTTAAGACTTTATTTATTTTAGAGAGAAGGGAAGGGAGAGAGAAAGAGGGAGAGAAACATCAATGTGTGGTTGCCTCTCACATGCTCCCTACTGGGGACCTGGCCTGCAACCCAGGCATGTGCTCTGACTGGGAACTGAACCGGTGACCCTTTGTTTCTCAGGCTGGCACTCAGTCCACTGTGCCACACCAGCCAGGGCTAAAAGAATTTTTTTTTTAATTCCCCTTCTAGGCATTGTAAGTGTCAGTTCTATTGAGGTTGGATCAGACCTCTCTCGGGGCCACAGCAGACTAATGAAACTAACCTGGCTTTTGCTAGAGGAGCTGTCAGGAAAGCAGCACTTTTCCTTTTACATTACTTCCATTCCCCATAGTCTGCTGCACAGCAGAGATTATGGAAACACAAGGTGCAAGGTATGTGAACTCCCCGAGTTTACCGACCCTGCCACATCCTCTCCCTGTGTCTTAACAATGGCTATAGGACCAATCAAGAGATGCCAGCCCTGGCTGGCGTAGCTCAGTGGATTGAGTGCGGGCTGCAAACCAAAGTGTCATAAGTTCGATTCCCAGTCAGGGTACATGCCTGGGTTGCAGGCCATGACCCCCAGCAACCACACATTGATGTTTCTCTCTCTCTCTCTATCTCCCTCCCTTTCCTCTCTAAAAATAAATAAATAAAATCTTTTTTAAAAAAGGAAAAAAAAAGAGATGCCAATAACGGCATTATCAGTGGTCCAGAATATTTTTTCCCTGTTTCGAGTCCCCCGTCATGAGCTGTAATTTCTAAAGCAGAGCTACTTAAACTTTTAGGAGGTATGGATCTCACAGAAGCTACAGCTCTTCCTGCCATAAAAGTGTAGCTCCATGCCCATGCATATCCTGCTACAAGTTTGCCTATAACTTGAGGGGGTTCCTGAGCCTCTTAAAGACCACCCGTGGATCCCTCTGGAGGAGTTGTTTGCAGCTAGGCCCCAGACCAGACCTACTGAATCAGAATCTGGAGGTGGGACTCAGGAATCTGCATTTTTATCAAGTTCCCCAAGTGAGAACCACTTAAGTCTGAAACTTACCAACTCAGTGTCTATAGATTCCGGTTTAAGAACGCCTGCTCTGTGAGAGGAGATACATTGAAGTAGCCAGGAGAGAATGAAATAATCAGTTGAATCTGCTGGCTGGGTTTCTGCTCCCTGTCTATAACAGAGGAGGGTACCTGTTCTGGGGAAAGAGATGGGGGACAGGAAGGAGTGCTAGGGGGCCAAGGTGGGGCACGGACAGGTGCAGCAGACTCCGTAACTTAGCAGTGTTATCCTCCTCCTCGCTTAGGACGGACTGTGACCCCTCTGCCTCCTTACTCTGCTCCTTCCCTGTTGCCAACGTGTCCCTCGCTAAGGGCGGACGTGATCGGGTGAGTATGGGAGCTAAACAGAGGTCGCATTAGCGCTTTGATGACTTGGAATCAAAAGGAAAACTTGAGAAAGACCTGGAGAGCAGGATTGAGGAACAGAGACTAAGGAGGGGAGGCTCTCAGGAAAAGGGGAGTTGTGAACCAATGCCATCTGGACGAATTCAACCAAAACAAAAACAAAAACAAGACAAAACAAAACAAAACAAAAAAACAACCCAGAAAGAAGGAAGCAAAGAAAGGGAATCTAAAGAAAAAATTAGAGTCTAAATAAATTGTATGGATTGTTCTTTCCTGCCAGTGTTAGCAATGTTCTCCTTCTCAAATTGTTTCAGCCAGTCCGTATCGACGGCATGAGGTGTGTTTTAGACCCGAATGAACCTAAATTAACAAACCAGCTATTCCACTGGACTAGGATGGAATCTACCCAAGAGTTTTGAAAGCTTGGATGTAAAGTTATGAAACTTGTGACAAATGTTCGTAACCTACCATTCCAAAGGGCACTGTGTCACAGGACGAGCCAGATGCCAGTGTGACTTCAACAGACCTGGAAACCCCAACAAACACAGAATAGGAACTCATCCTTCTTTATTAGACTCCGAGAAAGGGTGCAGTCCCCGCATACCTCAGAAGGCCGGTGGAGGACTGGAGGGGCGACATCATGTCTGGTCGCCAGAGTTTTCTGAGTTGTCTGTCAGCCACGTCATCAGTGGGCAGACTTACTTGAAGAGTTTCAAAATCATTTGGAAATTATTTTTCTTTTTTTAAAAGATTTTATTTATTTATTTTTAGAGAGGGAAGGGAGGGAGAGAGAGAGAAACATCAATGTGCGGTTGCTGGGGGTTATGGCCTGCAACCCACGCATGTGCCCTGACTGGGAATTGAACCTGCAACACTTTGGTTCTCAGCCCGCACTCAATCCACTGAGCTACGCCAGCCAGGGCCGGAAATTATTTTTCAAAAATGATACTTGGGACCACACTGACTCAAAGACAGAAAACACAGGATACAAATAAACAGTCACTGTGACCGGGAGAGTGTAAGCTGCAGAGTTTGGGGTTCCCCGGGGTGGGGGTGCAGACCGGCCTCATTTGGCAACACAGATAACCTGACAAACTGTGTCTCCTGGGATGTCTGTCGTTTGCCAGGTAGCAGTTCATTATCAAAAACATACCGGGTCCCACGAGTGGGCCCCAAGCGGAAGAGTTCCAAGTAGCGCAGCGGCGCCACGCTGGGCACGGTGAGGCAGAGGTTTATCACTGTCGTGCTGCTACTCCGGAAGGGAACTCGGAGGTTCTGGTAGAATGTTCTGTGAGGACATTGATTCAGAGGGCTTCGGGGCAGCGGTAATACTGATCACAGACGGAATATGCAGAGCGGAACAGAAACAAAGCCGCGGCGCATCCGTGCCTGCAAGAGTGCGTGCGGTTGTGTGACTGCCCGTGGCACGCACCCCAGTGGGCTGCAGGGAGCCTCAGGCAGTCGGGCATGAGGCTGCTGGGTGAAGAAGGAAGAGGAGGTTGAAGGGCGGAAGGGCGAGGGGCGACGTCCGGCCCAAGTCCCTGATAGCTGAAGCAGGTCGATCATTTTGTTCATCTACAGTGGGCAGTTTTGAATGGACGGGTGGATGGATGGATGAAGTAACACGTCTGCTGAGCTAACGCCTCGCTAAACACAGGAGACGCAATCCTGCTTTCAGGGAGCTCGCAGGATTGATCAACTTCTGAACGTTGTATGAAGTAGCGAAGTGTAAGATGCAGATTCTGCACTTCAGAAGAGTTTGTGAAGAATTGGAGAGATCAGTGTGAGACTGGAGATGGCGAGGCTCACTGCAGACCTTCAGAGAAGAGGGAGTACTGTGTGGGAGTCGGGGAGAGAAGGGGAGACTCTGCCCACTGGGCAGGTACACAGGAACAAGGGCGTGGAGTCCTTCGCAAGGTTCTGATACTAGACTCCACAGGTCTCTCTCGAGATGACATTCATTTAGACAGAATTGCTTTTGTATATATGTATATATATGAAAAATATATATACACACATCTTTATTGAGATAAAATTCACATTACATACAATCCACTCATTTAAAGCATGCATTCACATAGCTGGGCAGACGTCACCATGATCCATTCTGGAGCTCTCCCCGCCCCAAGGAGAAACCCGTACCGTGAGTGAGCAGTCAGTCACTCCTACTTCCCTCCAAATCTGCCCGGAGGACTGTGGGGTTGGCCAAAAAGTTTGCTTAGTTTTTTCCACATGATGGCTGTAGTAGTGCTTGGTTGTCCTTAACTTCAGTCAAAACAATCTTGTTAGATTGTATTATTGTATTACGATGGTTGTCATATCCATGTGCGTTTTTCAAGAAACATCAAAATTGGTGAATTTTTGTGCAGTCATTTGAATATTGAAGATGGAAGAAAATACACAACATTTTGAGCTTAGTATGCTTTATTGTTTCAAGAAAGGTAAAAAACTCAACAGAAATGCGAAAACATGATCTGTGCAGTGTGTGGAGAAGGCGCTGTGACTGATTGAACGTGTCAGAAGTGGTTTGCAAAGTTCCTTGGTACTACTGACATTTGTGGCCAAATAATTCTCTGCCGTGGGGCCGTCTTATGCACTGGAGGATGTTTTAGCAGCACCCCTGGCCTCCGCCCACTACAAGCCAATAGCAGGAGACAGCCGACACACTAAAAATATTCAAATCAATAAAGTTACTGGTGAAAATGAAAAACGTGTCTTTAATTTTACAGAAAAAAAACTAAACAGACTTTTTGGCCAACCCAGTATTTTAATGCTGCAAAGAATTCAGTGAAGCAACTGCTTTAGTCTCATCTGACCTAGACAGGGGGTTAGGAATCTCGTGGAACCCATTCTTCAACAGATAATTCAGACTGAAAATAAGAATCCGTATAAAGACTGGGATCAGCACATTCCACCTTTTACCCCAGTGACAAAATTCTCAGAGGACCCTCATAGCCATATGCAGCTTTTAGAGCTGGTTCGCTGTGGGCTGGGGCAATGTTTTTCAACGTTTAATAAAACCCCATTCTCTCTTTGGTTAAAAACAAACATATGAGTGATCCCTGGGCATGGACAATGGTGTGGGGATTGACTGTGGGGGGGGGGGGCGGTGGCTGGGTGGAGGAGGGCAAAAGGGGAAAAATTGGGACAACTGTAATAGAATAAACAAGAATATTTTTAAAAATCTGTCGCAATAGCAAAAAAAAAAAAAGTCTTACCACCGCCCCTGGGATTCTTATATGCCACCCCAAGGGGGTCGTGACATTGGAAACAGTTGATACAGGGTCAGAGGAGCATAGGAATGAATGGTCAGGAGAAGCCAGGGTGTGTCGGTGGCCAGTCGGTGACATTCCGAGACTAATCCCAGGGAAGCAGTCTCCCCACTGGGGGTTTCAGGGTTCTAACAACAGGACCAAGACGAGGGACCCACAGTGACCGAAAGTGGGCCTGGAGCACCAGGGATGGTGCCCGAGCTGGCTAGGGAGGTGGTGCGCACTCCGGCACTGGGTTAATTAATAATGTAAGTGCAGGCAGGCCGGGCCGGCGGGGTGGCCTCCCGGGGACGGGCCTGAGTCACAGATGGCCCAGTTGGCAGCGGGATGGTTCACTTTTGGAAAAGAAACCCGACACACCCTTTCTTAGAATAGAGCAGCTCCAGTCTGCTTCGGGTCTCAGAATCTCCGAAGTGGGAAGGATCCAGCCACCAGAAGGGGGCAGCACCTTCCTGGGCTGAGAGGTGGAGAGGCCTGTTGAGGCCAACCCAGGGGGTTGTGGCCAAGTATTTAGAGGGTTAGAGGGGAGGTGGAAGAGGGACAGTATAATTTTAAAAAATACGTGTTTTTGCTGTCAGGCCCCTTCAGACAAGTACAAAAAAAATAAGGTAAAATAAAAGCAGTTTTGACAAGCGCTGTGGCTGCCTCGGGCAGGTGCTGATGTATGGACAGCCGTACCGTGTCACCTTGGAGCTAGAGCTGCCAGAGTCCCCCGTGAATCAAGGCTTGGGCATGTTCTTGGTCACCATTTCGTGCTACACCCGAGGCGGACGCATCATCTCCACTTCCTCCCGCTCCGTAAGTGCGCAAGGCCCGTAAGGTCTTCCGCCCGTGAGGGCGTGCAGAACGGCGACGGGAGCTAGGAAGCTGGGGTGGGCCCTCGGAAAGAAACACCCCCCGCCGTGAGGTCACAGATGCATCAGTACAGGGGAGAGGAGTGGGGTTAGTGAGCGAGACAAGCACCCCCCAGAGAGCTGGTGGCATGGTCCAGCCTCGGGGTCGAGTCTGCAGTGGAACTGCTCTGACGATGGGCTCCTTGGGAGCCGGACAAACCTGGGCTCACACCCCGACTCAGAAACACACAGGCTGGGGGACAGCTGACCTAACCCTACCGGAGGTAAAGTGTTACAAGCGGCATAATAGTAACTCCGCATAGCAAGACTAGTCCGGGTTCAGTGAAGAAATGTAAAGTGCTTATTAGCACATAGTGGGTGTTCAGTCATTGTTAAGGCTCCATTCTTTTTTTTTTTTTTTTAAGATTTTATTTATTTCTAGAGAGGGAGAGGGGGAGAGAGAGAGAGAGAGAGAGAGAGAGAGAGAGAGAGAGAGAGAGAGAGAGAGAGAGAAACATCAATGTGCGGTTGCTGGGGGCCGTGGTCTGCAACCCAGGCATGTGCCCTGACTGGGAATCGAACCTGTGATGCTTTGGTTCGCAGCCTGCTCTCAATCCACTGAGCTACTCCAGCCAGGAAGGCTCCATTCTTAATTGTCAGCAGAACCACATCATGAAGCAAATCCCCGAATGTCCATGCAGGGAACAAAGCTTCAGGTGGTACCCTGGGCCTTGATCTGTTCCGGATTTTAGAACTCTCTGGGGGAAAGGCAGATCCGAGACAGTGTTAGGCTTAACCTGGGAAGGTTTCTAGGAAGAGCGGCCTTCCTTGTTCTGGGACAGAAACATGTGGTTGGGAAGGGCAGGGCTGTCCCTCAAGCATTTGGAACGACTGGGCCGAGACTTGGACGGGGCGTGGCAGAAGGTGTGAGCGAGGGAGCAGGGGACCCGAGGAAGAAGCAGCCTTCACGGGACTGCTCCGGGGCGACTGCGGGCCGGGTCGGCCCGTGAGAACCTGGGGGTGCCTGACCCCGGTGTCTCCCTCCCGGCCCTGGCAGGTGATGCTGCACTACCGCTCAGACCTGCTCCAGATGCTCGACACGCTGGTCTTCTCGAGCCTGCTGCTGTTCGGGTTTGCAGAGCAGAAGCAGCTCCTGGAGGTGGAGCTGTACCCAGAATACAGAGAAAACTCGGTAAGTGGGTGAAGGGAGACGAGGACATGGCCTTCCCCACAAGCCCAGGGTTCTCCCTGAGGAGCCTCTGGGCGCAGTGAAGTGGGGAGCAGCAACAGAGAGCCTGGAAGCGGGCCTCGCGTTGACAGCAGCAGGGTCCTGGCCTGATGCGGCTGCCACCCCTCCGCCCCCAACCCTGCAGTATGTGCCCACCACCGGAGCGATTATCGAAGTACACAGCAAGCGCATCCAGCTGTACGGAGCCTACCTCCGCATCCACGCCCACTTCTCTGGGCTCAGGTGAGGAACCACCAAAGCACACCTTGGGGGCTCTCCCGGGGCTGCCCTTAAGCAAAGGGGGTCCTAAGCAAAGGTAACAGGTTTTACATGGGCCACAGGGTCTCAACCCAGGCTGCACAAATCAGCTTCCTGAGGAGCCCTCCCTCCCTCCCTTCCTTCCTTCTTTCCTTCCTTCCTTCTTTCCTTCCTTTTGCAGCACTGGTTTCTAACATTTCGAGTATACAACATTGTAATTCACCACTCTCCGTGCTACAGCATCCTCACCGCCCAGCCCCTTTCTACCCGTCACCGTACCACCGAGCCCCTTGAGCCATTTTGCCCTCCCTCCGGCCCCCTTCCCCTTGGTAACCACCCATCTTTTGTCTGCCTCCGGGAGTTTACTTTGGTTTTGTTTGTTCGTTCATTCCCTGGGGAACTTTTTAGAAACACTGATGCCTGGGCCGCCACACCGGACCAACCGAACTGGAATCTGTTGGGCTGACCTCTGGCCATCAGACCTTTTTTTTTTTTTAATCCTCACCCAAGGGTGTGCTCACTGGTTTTTAGAGAGAGAAGGGGAGAGAAGCGTCAGTCGATTGCCTCTCACGTGCCCCCTGACCGGGGCGGGGGGGGGGGGACTGAACCTGCAAGCCAGGCATGTGCCCTGACAGGGAACGCAGCCCGCAGCCGTCTGGTGTGTGGGGCGACGCTCCCACCACCTGAGCCGCAGCGGCCAGGACGCCGTGAGCCTTTCCGAAAGCCGCCCAGGGAATGCTGGTGTGCAGCCAGAGTTGAGAGCCGCCGTCTCCGGAGAAGGCTGGCTGGTGCCCGGAACCGCTACCTTTTTGTCCCTCCCTCCTGCCTCAGGTACCTGCTGTACAACTTCCCCATGACCTGCGCCTTCATAGGTGTTGCCAGCAACTTCACCTTCCTCAGCGTCATCGTGCTGTTCAGCTACATGCAGTGGATGTGGGGTGGCATCTGGCCCCGCCACCGCCTCGCCCTGCAGGTCGCCGCGGGCCCCTTTCCCCGGCCCTTTGTGATTCTTCTGTGACTGGGAGTGGGCCTGGGCCAGGGCGCACTGGGGCCCCCCCCAGGTGTGAGGGCCCCCGATCCCTGGCGAGGGAAGTCAGGCCTGGCTACTGAGTAGTGTCCTCCACAGGTGAACATCCGGAAAAGGGACGTGCCCCGGAAGGAAACCCAGGGAAGGACCGCAGCCCGTCGGCTAGGTAACGGTGGGGCTTGGGGGTTGGGTGACAGGGGGATCCTGCTCCATCCGGTGTGAGTCCAGGCGCAGCCATCCTGGCCCTGTCCTGCCCTCTGTCCCAAGACCAGGAGGAGCCAACCCAGCTGCCGGACGTCACAGAGGACGGTGAGAGCCCCGAAGACCCCTCAGGGACAGGTATGGTGCTGCGGCCATCCTCCGTCCATCCCTTCCTCCTGCCTCCCCCTAGCCTGCCCCTTTAGCCTCTTGCCTGACCTCTGCATCGCCCCCTGTGGCTGCAGAGACCCAGCTGTCTGAGGAGGAAAAACCAGATCAGCAGCCCCAGAGCGGAGAGGAAGAGCTGGAGCCGGAGGCCAGTGACGGTGAGGGACCCCTTGCATAGGGAGCAGGGTGGGCTGGGCGGTGGCATGAGGGTGGAGAGGAAGCTGCACCAGGTGGGGGCGAGGGGCCCCTGGTTGTCTCATTTGCCATTTGGAATGTCATTTCTCCCTCCCCTGGCCCAGGTTCAGGCTCCTGGGAAGACGCAGCTCTGCTGACCGAGGCCAACCTGCCTGCTTCCGCCCCTGCCCTGGCCCCGGAGACCCTGGGCAGCTCTGACCCCTCTGGGGGCTCTCACCAGCGGCACCCCACCTGCTCCAGCTCCTGAAGAGAACAGGGCAGAGACCCACACTCCAGCCCTTTACACTGGGCTCTCTCCCTTCCGCCTTCGTCTGCGGCTTTCCCAATAAACTATATTCTTGCCAGTGACTTCCCTGACTCTTCGCTGACTCCTTGAACTTGACTCAGGGTCATTTGAAAACCTTGTATTCCCCAGGCACCAGCCACCCCCGATGGGCAGAGACTGTCTTCTCGGGCCAGATAGGGAGGGGCCTCCAAACCCCGATTAAATACAGTTGTTTTCATTCACAAGCCTCAGGAGTGCAAGGAGAGAGGACCTCTCTGGCCTTTTCCATCCACGTGACTCCTATTTCCCTCTGGGGAGGGGGATAGTGTAGGGCGGGTCTGGAGAGTTGGGCTACATCATTCAGGCCTCTGCACCCCTCCTTTTATGTCCGTGGGGAGGCAGAAGGCAGGAAATGACAGCCAGGGAAGTGTTAGGATTTTTACCAAAACAGCATTTTGTGGCCCAAGCCACATGCTGTCCACAGCTGTTTTCCTCTCCAATACCAGCCAGGTGGCCCCCTCCCTTGTGTCCCTTTTCATCCCTTCACATGCTCTAGCCTCTGGTTTCTCAGCTCCTGGCTGCTTTCCACATTCCAGTCCCCTTGCAGAACCCAGGCATCCTGGCCTCCAGCTGAAACCGAAGCGTGTGGCTTCCCCCACGCCTGGCCCTGTGACTCAGACCCTCTGAAGGGACCAGCCCTCTTCTTGGCACTCCCCAGGAGAGGGGGGCAGGGGGAGGGGGGCGAGGTAGTGACATCACAGCTGAAGGGTATAAAAGTTTCGAGGCAAAACAGAATTGAAGTGGAAGACGCAAGACCTGACGGCGCAGCCTGTGCTCCTGGGGACCGCTGGGCCTGAAACCCACGGAGGTCTGGTGGCGAATTCCAAGGCCCCCACACTGGTGAGAGGCTGCTGGCGGGTGGCCCGGGAGGATGAGGGGCAGGTGGGGAACTGGCAAGGATCAGGCCTCCAGTGACAAGTGGGCTGTGAGATCCCTATTGCCTGCTTCTGTTCTCTCTGCCCCTTCTCTCTGAGATCTTTTCTCTGCGTAGCAGCTGGGGATTACTCCACTTTTCTTCTCTCAGCTGAGTAAATATTTTCCTCCTCTTCTTCCCCCAGCACTTGCTTTATTCATTAACTGTTTCCACCGCTTCCTACCTTGCCGGTCACACAGCTGCCTCCCGTGCGGCCACAGTTTATTCTTTTTCGCCTGAAATCTAGCACATAGGCTGCTCAGAAATCGGTTGACAAATGAGTGTGTCGGTCTCATTCCCTCCTCTTTCCTGTTCTCTCAGTCCCCAGTAGTGTCCCCTGGTCCCCAGGGGTCTTGTTGAGCCAGGGGGCCTGGGAAGGTGGGGCCTGAGCAGCCTTTCCTAACTCAGCATCCCCTCCCCTTCCAGACTCCATGCTGGGCGTTCCCTGCTTTCTGTGGCTCCTGGCCGTCGCCTTCTCCCTGGTTCTCAGAGCGCAGCGCTTGGCCCCTCAAGACTCAGAAGAAGAGGGAGATGAGATAACGCGGTCACCATTGCCTGCTGTCCTCTGTGACTATGACCGCTGCCGCCACCTGCAGGTCCCGTGCAAAGAGCTGCAGAGGGCGGGCCCGACGGCCTGCCTGTGCCCGGGGCTCTCCAGCCCTGCGCAGCCGCCCGCCCCACCGCGCCTGGGAGAAGTGCACGTGGTGGCAGAGGACGGCAGCGCGGTGGTGCACTGGTGTGCCCCCTCCTCCCCGGTCCACCAGTACTGGCTGCTGCTTTGGGAAGGCAGCGGGCCTCCCCAGAAGGGCCCCCTCCTCAACTCTACCTTCCGCCGAGCAGAACTAAAGGGGCTGAAGCCCGGGGGCGTGTATGTGGTTTGCGTGGTGGCCGCTAACGCGGCGGGTGTAAGCAGCGTGCCCGGGAAGGGTGGCGAGGGCCCTGAGGGTGCGGACCTCCCTGCCTTCGGGCCGTGCGGCCGGGTGGCCGTACCCCTCCGGCCCCGCAGCCTGGTCCACGCGGCCGTAGGCGTGGGCGCAGCGCTGGCCCTGCTGAGCTGCGGCGCCCTGGTCTGGCACTTCTGCCTGCGCCAGCGCTGCGGCTGCCCTCGCCGCGCCCGCCCCGCCACCCCGCCCGCAGCGGGGCTCTGAAGCAGCCGGGGTGCCTCTGGGCCGCGCGGAGCTCCCACCCAGGAGCTCAGCTCGAGCTCCGGGAGGAGGTGCGGGCCGCGGCTGCCCGGCGCTCCGGGCGAGAGTTCACACGGGTCCCAGGCTGTCACTTGTGCTCCCTTGGCTGAAGTTGGGAAGGAGTAGAGAAACAGGGTCGGCAAAGCTTTTCTCAAAGGACAAGATAGTGACCAATTTCGGTTTTGCGGTTCCAGAGGATAGACTCGAAGACATATAGGTACTTATATGACCAGGTAGCCATTTATAAAAATGTAAAAACCATTCTTAGCCCAGGGACCTGACAGATGAGGGCCGGGCCACATTTGGCCGGTTGGCTGTAGTTAGCAACCCCCGCCGGACGCCCTAGAAGGGCTCTGCCGCGGGGGGTGGCTTCAGCGGGGTTTCGAGGATGAGCTGCTGGGGGAGCGGAGTTTGGGGCCAGACACCACTCCCCCTGCCTTTTGTCTAGACACTGAGATTGCGCACACCTGTGTCGGATGCCCGTGGGCATAAACGACCGGCATGGGGTGGAGAAGAGAGGACACCCCAAGCTGCTGTCTGGGTCAAGCTTGCCAGTTAAAAAAAATGATAATAATAAAACCAGGGGATTTCCTCTTCCCCCACAATTGGTGTTTACTGTATACCCCTGTAGCAGTATTAGATCGGAAACAAGAGGGAAACATTTAACTTTTCACAATCCTTTTCAACTCTCTGCCCACACACCCATTTTTCAGAGTGGTACACGTAATTTAGATTTTTTTTAAAAAGATTTTTATTTATTTTCAGAGAGGATGGGAGAGAGAAAGAGGGAGAGAAACATCCATGTGTGCTTGAGAAACATCAGCTGGCTGCCTCTCTCACTTCCCCAGCTGGAACCTAGATCCTGCCCCCAACCCAGGCGTGTGCCCTGACTGGGAATCAACCAGCGACCCCCTGGTTCACAGGCCTCTGCTCAGCCCGCTCAGCCACACCAGCCAGGGCTGAATTTATTTTTTTAAGTGAATCGGTTGCTAAAGAGTATAATCCTTACTTTTATTGGTCTTATAACTCTTTTTTCCAAAAGTGAGATTCAAAGTTCTTACAATACTTTTTAAACTATAAAAGTAGCACAAATTTCACATAATACTGAATCATAGAAAGTGAATGTTCTCCTCCCCAAGATGTTTCTGTCTTGCAGCAGAGTGGATCTCTATGCGATACAAATATTTTCTTTTTTCACGTTGTTTCTTATGCAGAATTTTCCTTCTTGGTAAATCATAGCCTCCTTAGTTATGTTAAAGAATGCATAACTTTCTTTTTTTTTAAAGAAGATTTTATTTCTTTTTAGAGAGAGGGGAAGGGAGGGAGAGAAGCATCCATGTGACTTGAAGACACATCCATCTGGCTCTCACAAGCAACCCAGGCATGTGCCCTGACTGGGCATCGAACCGGCAACCTTTTGGCCGGCACTCAATCCACTGAGTCACACCAGCCAGGGCAGGATGCATAACTTTCCCCAGGAAGATACTCCTTAACTGACAGTAGCCATCACTCTGTTGGAACATTTAAGCTGTCTTCAGTGTTTGCTATGGACATGCTTGTCTGTGTATCCTCACGTGTTCATGTTTCTATACGGTACTTGCTTGGAAGTAGGTCAAAGAGGCAGTCCTACACAAGTTAATCATTCTTTTATTATTGGACTTCTAGAATAAATTTAGAACGCAGTTGTTATATAGAATATGCTCATCACACTCCAGTGAATACTTTGTCCCTTTTTACTTTGCTTCCTGTATGCTCATCATTTATCCATTTGCAAATAACGAGGGCTAACTACCTCACTATCAAAGACATACTTAACACAATACATTGTACAGCTATGTTGTGGAATTGTGCACCTGGAACCTGTATGATTCTGTTAACCAGTGTCATCCCAATAAACTCCATTGAAAAAGACACGCTTTCCATGTGTTATCAATCTTTACAATCATTTCAACAGATGGTATGACCTTTGCACAGATGAGAAATTTGAGGTCCTAAATGGTTGGAAGCTGCATGTAGGACGTCGAGATAGGATTTGGGCCCAAGTCTCCCAGTTTCAAGGCTGACGCGCTGCACTCCACCTTGGAGAGGCAACCCAGCATAGTGGTGTATCGTGAACACACACTTCCATTCACTAAAGTCACTAGGGGTTGAATCCTAGCTCCGCCGGGTACCAGCTTTGTGACCTTAGGTAAATTATCTCATCTTCCTGTGTCGGTTTCCTGTGACTGATCATGGTACCTGTATCATATGGATTGTAGTGATGATTAAATATGCATTAATCATCTAAAAGTCTCTAGTGTATAGACTGCTGCGGGCGGCCCGAGGGAGGTGGGGGGGCTTGGATGACGGGGCCGGAAATGGTGTGCTCGGCCTTTCCTTTTCCTTCGCAGCAAAAGCCAGTTTGAGCTGTGCGCTCCGCTCCGCGGGTTCGAGGCCAACGGCTTCTTCTCTGGCCCCCTCAGCGGCCGACCCCTCACCGCGGTCGAGAAAAGGTGGTGGGCCGGAGCAGCGCCATCACTGCCGGCGTGTGCGGGGCCCTCTTCTCAGGTACTGCATCGACTTGGACCGCAAGACACCGAGTGATCCCAACTTCAAGAACAGGCTGCGAAAACGAAGAAAGAAACTTGCCAAAAAGCTTGCCAAAGAGAGAGCTGGCCTTTCCAAGTTACCTGACCTTAAAGATGCTGAAGCTGTTTGGAAGTTCTTCCTTGAAGAGATACAGCTTGGGGAAGAGTTCCTAGCCCGAGGTGAACATGAAAAGGGTGTAGACCAGCTGACCAACGCGATGGTGGTGTGCGGACGGCCACGGCAGTTCCTGCAAGTGCTGCAGCAAACTTGCGCACCGCCGGTGTCCCAGATGCTTCTGGCTAAGCTTCAAACAATTAGCCAGGGAATTGTAAGTGCTCAGAGCTTGGCTGAGGATGATGTGGAATGAGAAACAAATGTCAACATAATAATCACCATTAAAAATGTTCTTAAAATCTTCAAAAAATAAAAGCCTCTAGTGTATACATTATCAGTATCAGTGACTTATTTTTACTATGCCTCCTAGTAAACGCCTATGTCCTGGGCTAAGTAATCAACAAGGACTACACAGCAGGAGTATAAATGCTTAATGAGGTCATTACTGGGGCTGGGGGGTGAGGTGGGGATCGACAAAGCAGGCTTCCCTTAGAAAGGAAACTTACGGAGTGTTTGAAGTCTTGCTCCATGCCATCAGTTTGGCCCAAATAAAGTTATAAAAAAATTTTTAAATGTTTAAAAATTTTATTGATTATGCTATTACAGTTGTCCCATTCCCTCCCCTTCACTCCCTTCCACCCTGTACACCCCCTGCCACCCACATTCCCCCCTTTAGTTCATGTCCATGTGTCATACTTATAAGTTCTTTAGCTTCTACATTTCCCATACTATTCTTACCCTCCCCCTGTCTATTTTCTACCTACAATCTATGCTACTTATTCTCTGTACCTTTTCTCCCTCTCTTCCTCCCACTCCGCTGTTGCTAACCTTCCATGTGATCTCCATTTCTGTGGTTCTGTTCCTGTTCTAGTTGTTTGCTTAGTTTCTTTTGGTTTTGTTTTAGGTGTGATTGTTAATAATTATGAGTTTGCTGTCATTTTACTATACATGTTTTTTATCTTCTTTTTCTCAGATAAGTCTCTTTTTAAAATTTCATATAATAAGGGCTTGGTGATAATGAACTCCTTCAACTTGACCTTATCTGAGAAACACTTTATCTGCCCTTCCATTCTAAATGAAAGCTTTGCTGGATACAGCAATCTTGGATGTAGGTTCTTGCCTTTCATGGCTTGAAATCCTTCTTTCCAGCCCCTTCTTTTTTTTAATTTAATTTAATTGTAATTGTTGCAGTACAATTTTCTATCTTTTACTCCCATCCCAGCCCACCCACCCATCCCTCCCCACCTCCTTCCCATTGCTATTCCCGCCCTAGTTTTTGTCCATGTGTATTTTATACTTGTTTCTGTAAACCCTTCCCCTTTTCCCCTGAAATTCCCTCCCCTCTCCCCTGTGGTCACTGTCAGCCTGCCCTCTATTTCAGTGTCTTTGGTTATATTTTGCTTGTTTCTTTGTTTTATTGTTTAGGTTCCTGTTAAAGGTGAGATCATATGGTATTTGTCTTTCACTGCCTCGCCTATTTCACTTAGCACAATGCTTTCCAGCTCCATCCAAGCTGTTGCAAAGGGTAGGAGCTCCTTCTTTCTTTCTGCTGCATAGAATTCCATTGTGTAAATGTACCATAGTTTTTTGATCCATTCATTTACTGATGGGCATCTAGGTTGTTTCCAGCACCTAGCTATTGTAAATTGTGGTGCTCTGAACATTGGGGTGCATCGGTTCTTTTGGATTGGTGTTCAGGGTTCTTAGTATATAATCTAGCAGTGGAACTGCTAGGTCAAGAGACAGATCCATTTTCAGTTTTCTGAGAAAATTCCATACTGCTTTCCATAGTGGTTGAACCAGTTTTCCAGCCCCTTCTTACCTACAAAGTCTCTTTTGAGAAATCAGCTGACAGTCTTATGGGCACTCCTTTGTAAGTAACTTTCTCATTTTGTCTTGTTGCTTTTAAGATTCTCTCCTTATCTTTAATCTTGGGTATTGTAATTATGATGTGCCTTGGTGTGTTCCTCCTTGGGTCCAACTTCTTTGGGACTCTCTGAGGTTCCTGTACTTCCTGGAAGTCTATTTCCTTTGCCAGAATGGGGAAGTTCTCCTTTATTATTTGTTCAAATAAGTTTTCCACTTGTTGCTCTTCCTTTTCTCCTTCTGGCACCCCTATAATTTGGATGTTGGAATGTTTAAAGATGTCCTGGAGGTTCCTAAGCCTCTCCTAATTTTTTTTTGAATTCTTGTTTCTTTGTTCTTTTCTGTTTGATTGTTTCTTTCTTCCTTCTGGTCCACTCCATTGATTTGAGTCCCAGTTTCCTTCCCATCACTATTGGTTTCCTGTACTTTCCTTTATTTCTCTTAGCATAGCTTTCATTTTTTCATCTAATTTGTGAACAAATTCAACCAATTCTGTGAGCATCCTGATCACCAGTGCTTTAAACTGTGCATCTGATAGGTTGGCTATCTCTTCGTCACTTAGTTGTATTTTTTTCTGGAGCTTTGCTTTGTTCTTTCATTTGGGCCATTTTTTTTTTTTTGTCTCGATGCACCTGTTTTGTAGTGAGGGGTTGAGCCTTAGGTGTTCATCAGGGCGGGACAACCCAGTTGCTGGGTTATGAGGCTGTATGTGGGGCAGGGGCCTGAGAGGGAACAATGGCGGTGGCTCTACTCTCTGCCACTACCATTTCAGTCACTTCCACCACTTCCCTCAAGCAAACTGGGTTCTTCTGGTGCTGATTCCCATGTGGGTGGGTTTGTGTACATTCTAGGACCTTGCGGGTCTCTCCAACGAACTCTCCTGTGAGGCTGGGTGTGTCTCCCAGCACCTCAACTCCCACAGGTGTTTCCAATCGGTGTTTTGAGGCTTTATTTCCCTGCACTAGGGCCTTGGGTTGGTGGTCTGTCTCACTCCCCAGTTTCTCCTGGTTTATCTGCACACGAATGTGGGACCTCTGGGTCCGCCAGCCACCTTGTGCACCAGTACCCCTCCACAATCCGCCACCTCGCTGGGTCCACCTGCTGCCACCCTGCGTGGGGGCCCGCCAGCACTGCATTTTGCTTTTTTTTGCTGTGACCCCTCTCCACCCAGCCATCCAACTCTGCCCTGCCTGCTGGTCTGGATGAATATGTCTACTTCAACTCCTTGGTTGTCGGACTTCCATACAGTTCACTTTTCTGTCAGTACTGGGCTTTTTTTGTTTCTAAATTTTTGTTGTCCTTATTATGGTTGTGCGAGGAGGCACAATGTGTCTACCTATGCCTCCATCTTGGCCAGAAGTCCAAGTTATAAAAATTTAAAGAAAGAAAGCAAGCCCTGGCTGGTGTGGCTCCGTGGATTGAGTGCCAGCCTGCAAACCAAGGTGGTTCAATTTCTGCTCAGGGAACACATCTGGGTTATGTGCCAGGTTCCCAGTAGGGGGCGCGTGAGAGGCAACCCCATGATGTTTCTGTGCCTCTCTTCCTCCCTCCCTTCTTGTCTCTCTAGAAATAGATAAATAAAATCTTTTAAAAAATAAAAGAAGGAAAGAAGAAAACTCAGAGTCCAGTCCAAAAACTGAGAGTTAACCAAGCCCACAGAAGAGGCAGGACATCCCAGGCAGAGGGACCGGTAGGTGCAAAGGCCAGGAGGAGGGAGAGGGCCTGTTTTGCAATAAGCACAAGTTACCCTCAAGTGGTGGAAGGTAAAACGGCTCACTAATTACTAACATTTATACAGTACAGTCTTGCCAGGTACCTGAGGTAGGTGCTACTGTTATCCTCACTTTACAGATGGGGCTCTAACAAAAAAGGAGGGGGAGGCAGGAGGAAGCCAGACAGACTACTGGCATTTAAATCCCCTCCTAAGTGATTGGGGTGGCATGGAGTTTTAAGCAGGGAGGTGATGACTGGGTAAGATACTGTGTTTTGCAAGCAACTCAATGAATTCCCTGAAGAGGCTGAGCAGGTCAAAGAGTATTCACATTTTTAATCCTGGTAAACAGTGGCAAATAGCTTCCCAACTGGTTGCACCAAAGGACCATACCGGGAACTGGCTTCCTTCCGCCCACGGGTTCAGGGCCGCACCTCCTTCCCCACAGCTCTCAGACGCCCTGCTTTAGGGGCCATTTCTCTATCCGACTCCCACAGGATGCTTGCCTTGCCCGGCTGGTCCTGACAGAAGGCCCACGTTTGTGCTTTCTTTTTTTCCTTATTTTTTTAAACTTTTAAATTTATTTTTCTTTTTTATCCTCACCCCAGTACATTTTTTCACTGCTTTCAGATATAGAGGGAGAGAGAGAAACAGCCATGTGACAGAGAAGCATCAGTTGGTTGCCTGCACCCTAACGGGGGATCGTTCACACCCCTACCGTGGATTAAACACGAAACCTAGATATGTGCCCTGACCGGGGCATCGAACCCTTAACCTTTTAGTTACAAGATAATGCTGCAACCAAATGAGCCACACTGGCCAGGTCTTGTTTATTAATTTTAAAGAGATGGGGGGCGGGCAGAGATGAAGATCGATTTGCCTTTCCACTCATTTATGTATTTATTGGCTGGTTGTTGCACGTCCCGGACCAGGGATAAAACCTGCAACCCTTCCTAATCCAGAGGACGCGCTAACTCGCTGAACTACCCGGTGGGGGTCCAGGCCTGTGCTTTCTGACTCTCAGCGGGACCCGTCCACGGCCTTCTCCACGTGACCCAAACAGATCCGGGCATTTCCGCTTCCCCTCTGCTTTCTTCTCTTAGGTGTCCGCGGCGGGTCCGGAGTTGGGTGAGTGAGCGAGCGCCCCGGTCTGGACCGTCGGGAGCGGGATTGTTCGCGGGCCGAGGGCGCTCCGCGCTGACCCTCTCCGTCCTCCTTCTCGTCCCCCCAGGTCCCCGCGGAAGCGGCGTTGGCGGCGTCATGGCGGAGCTGACGGCTCTGGAGAGTCTCATCGAGATGGGCTTCCCCAGGGGACGCGCGTAAGGGAGCCCCCTTACCCCGGCCCGCGGGGGTCCCGGACGTGTCCGGGCCTTTCCCCCAGCCTGGCCTCAGGCTCTACGCCCCAAGCTGACCGTCACCATGGCTCGTGGGCGCTATTCACGGTGTTTCTGCCCTCAGGGAGAAGGCTCTGGCCCTCACAGGGAACCAGGGCATCGAGGCCGCGATGGACTGGTGAGCGCTCGCACCGGGTGCCAGGGGCCCGGGGGCTCGGAGGGGCAGCCTCAACGTTGACCTCCTTCTCGACCTTTTCTGCCAGGTTGATGGAGCATGAAGACGACCCCGATGTGGACGAGCCGCTAGCGACCCCCCTCGGACATATCCTAGGACGGGAACCCACCCCCTCCGAGCACGGTGGCCCTGAAGGTCCTGACTGAGGGACACGGTGTGATTATTCAGGAGGGCCCGAGGAGGATGAACGGGTAATGACACCGATCACTTGTTTGTAGGACCTGGGTCCGCTGCGGAAGAAAGCAAACCCACCTTGAGTGAAGAGGAAAGACAGGAGCAGACGAAGAGGTAAGAAACAGCCATGCATTCCTGAGGGTCACCTTCCACCTTTCCGCTGTACACAGTCTAATCGGAGAATCTCGAATTTTTCACATTCTTTCTGTCCTTGCTTGGCGCTTCTTTTTGTTCTTTCCTGTTTTATCAGAGGGTTCCTGAGTTGGTTTTCTGAGTCCCTTGTCATAAACTCACCTTCCCCATCCATGTTCATTTCTCTTGAGCTTTTCCCTTTTTGCCATGCAGGATGTTGGAGCTGGTGGCCCAGAAACAGCGGGAGCGGGAAGAAAGAGAAGAGCGGGAGGCGCTGGAACGCGAACGGCAGCGCAGGAGACAAGGGCAGGAGCTGTCAGCTGCCAGACAGCGGCTGCAGGAAGACGAGATGCGCCGGGCCGCCGAGGAGCGGAGGCGGGAAAAGGCTGAAGAGTTAGCAGCCAGGTCTGCCGCTGGGGCTGTGAGATGAGAGATGTGAAAGGAATCAATATGTGCTTTCTCCACACCTGACCTTCCTTTCTGTCCGCATTTCAGGCAAAGAGTCCGAGAAAAGATTGAAAGAGACAAAGCAGAGAGAGCCAAGAAGGTGGGTGACTGGGAAGACACCGGGTAATCGACTAGGGAGAGCTAACCCCGTCTTCTGCATCGGCGGGAAAGGAAGGGCGCACAGCGTTTCTCCTGAGGGCGGGCGCGTGCCTGATGCAGTGTTCTTTGTCCTCCAGTATGGTGGTGGTGTGGGTTCTCAGCCATCCCCGCCGACAGAGCCAGGACCTGTGCCCTCCTCTCCCAGCCAGGAGCCTCCCACCAAGAGGGAGTACGACCAATGTCGCATACAGGTACTGATTCTGGTTCTGCTTGCTCCAGGGACCCGTCCGTTGGCCTAGGAAGCACCTAGTCCAGAGCTTTTTTCAGTCCTGTTTCCTTTGCCAGACCTTCCCCTTCTTTGTAAGTGGCTTTTGAAATCCTACCTCCTCTGCTCCTAGAAAGATCAAATTTCACTTGCCCAATCTTACTTAAATCCGTGTCTCCCTCTTAACTCAGCAGTCATCTCTTCATGCTTTCATTGGGTTTATCACACAGCTGTTTATCCAGGTAGTTTTGTGTAATCTTGCCTTTGTCTTTCTTAAATTGTGAGGGAGCAGGGAGTATGTTTCTGTTCAGTACGTGGTCGAGCAGAGCCCAAGTCGTCGTTTATTAGGTGCTTTTAATAGTAGTTGTGTTGGTTCGATCTGAGGAGGAGGAGGAGCCAGCTTTGCTCTTCTTTCCCTTACTTGGGTGCCTCACTCAGCTTTGACACTCACCGTCGTCTTTCACTCGCCCTCTAGGTCAGGCTGCCAGATGGGACCTCGCTGACCCAGACCTTCCGGGCTCGGGAACAGCTGGCAGCTGTTAGGCTCTATGTGGAGCTCCACCGTGGGGAGGAACCTGGAGGGGGCCGGGACCCTGTGCAGTTGCTCAGTGGCTTCCCCCGGCGGGCCTTCTCAGAGGCCGACATGGAGCGGCCCCTGCAGGAGCTGGGTATGACGACATGGGGGACCTGAAGCAGGACTTGGGTGTGATAGGGGACATACCTGAGAAAGGAAGGGATGCAGAGAGAAGGGACCTTGTGGAGATGATGTGAGGCCAGGAATTTTGGGGGACGGATAGGTATGTGTGGTTTAAACCTGTTTTTCTTCCATCTTTAGGACTTGTGCCTTCTGCTGTTCTCATTGTGGCCAAGAAATGTCCCAGCTGAGAAGGCTTTCTCCCACCTTACCTGACCTCGTCATCTTTGATAAAGCACTGACATCTCCTTCCTAATAAACAGACCCTCTGAGTTCTCTATATGCGGACTCCTTCCTGAATGGCTGGGAGGGACCGAACCGAGGCAGAGGAAGAATCTAAAGGGAATGCTTTTAGAGTAGATACTACTCATCTTAACGTTTTAAACACAGAGACTTGTTTCTAATCTCTGGGTCTGATGAGTTTTCTGGGGAAGTTGAAGGGGAAGAGGAACTAGGGGTGGGGAATACAGTGGATGACACCCTTTGCTCCTATGGGTAAGGCGGTGCATAAGCCTGAAATCCTGGTTAGCTGTGTGCCTGACCTTCTTAAGCCTGTTTTCCTCTTTTAGTGAAACATGACCGCACACGTCAGTGGGTTATGCAATGCGGGGGGGAAGGTGCTTGAGCACAGCGCCCAGAGCTGAGTCAGTCCTCAGGAATGTTCCTGAGTTGTTCCTGAATGTTCCTCAGCTGTTCCTGAATGTTGAGGAACATTAGTGACTCTCACAAGCGCATCTCTTCTGCACTAAAAAGTATTGAAAACTTAATAGCACACATTTTAAAGTACTTTTATATGCGTGAACTGGGATATGGAGGTACTATTACCTATGAATGGGTACCATTGTCCCATTTTAGAGACAGGGACACTGAGCCATGTGACTTAGCCACACTGACATGGGTTAGAGATCCTTGACACACACTTGGGGAGCCCACAAATCTAGGGCTTGGGTCCTGTAACTGCCAAACACCTTTATGAGAGCTGGTCCGTCTGCTGCTGCTAACCTCAGCCTAGCGTTCCCGCAGACTCCTCTCATTCCCAGCCTGTGAAAGGACCACAAACTGTAAAGGTCATATATGATGTGATTTCAGCAGCTGAAAACTGCTCCAACACTCAGCCTGGGCTTATACCTCAGTGTACGTGGTGGTCTGGCTAAATTTATTTGTTAAAGCAGCCTTTTTTCCTATTGCCAGGATATAAAATAGACAAAAGCAATGGACTTGACTATGGGGCCATTACTTCACCAACAGTTTTGTGCCATCTCTTCAGTAGCCTTTCCAGTAGGCCTCGTGAGTGGACTCTGATGGAAAACTACAGTGAAAACCTGGAGTGGGGAAAGCCCCACTATCTGTTGAGAGGTTGCTCTGCCAGGCATTGCACTTACTGTTCTAAATTAACCTTAGGACAGCCCTGGCTGGTGTAGCTCAGTGCACTAGGGTTGCCTGATTGATTCCCAGTCAGGGCACATGCTTGGGTTGCAGGCCAGTTCAGGTCCCAAGAAGGGGCATGCATGAGGCAACCACACATTCATGTTTCTTTCCCTCTCGATCTCCTTCCCCTCTATAAACAAACAAATAAATATATAAATCTTTAAAATTAACCTTAGGACAGACCTTAAGATAATTACCACTTTTTATAGAACAGGACTGAGGCTCAGATTTTGTAACATGATGGAATTGAATCAAGATGTGACTCAAAGCATGCTTTCACTACTTCAAACAAATGGGCTCCAAAGGTTAAATAATGGCCACAGGAGACATCTGGCGCATGTTAAGTGCTAGAAGTCCCACTCCAACCTCACTTGAAAGGTAGGAACCTGTGTGGGCATTTCTGCTACAAGATTTTCTGGTATAGTTCTGAGTTCAGGAATATTCCCAAAAGTACAGACAGGTCACGTGACCTGACTCGTGTTTTGAAAACCTGGTCGCTGTGCCTATTGGGCTTCAGCCTCACGTGGGGAGCGGGGCAGGCGGGAGCCGAGGTCATCCCCGCCCACAGAACCGACCCCAGAACTCGGCATTTACAAGCGTCAGACTGCACGGCTCACTTCTGGATAGAGGAACACGATTTACTGATTTCTTCAGTTCGATGACCACGTCCGATGACTCTGGCCAGCGATAAGAACGTGAACGCACAGTCAGTGCAAGGTTTAGGGGGAACGTGCTCACTCGGCAGCAGCTTCCCGGTCCGGGCTACCCGCCAGGTCCATGAAAGAGGAAGACGGCCTTGGACTCCAGCGCCAGAGCGGAGCTCCCAGCACCCACCGGTTCGGGTCCCATCTCATGTTGACTTTCCGCTGCTCACCCAGTTCTTCCTCCAGGTCACGTTCTCCTGCGTGGCAGCTGCCTCCTGCAGAGTGGCCAGCAGTAACTGTTTGGTCCTGGCCGCCTCTTCCCTGCTCCGTGGATCCTGTCCCGGCATCTCCTGTGGGCAGGGAGAAAGGATCGCAGTTACGGCTGGTCCCATGCTCTCCGCCGGCCCACCCACCCCTTCTCTGATTTCCATTGCTCCCACCTTTAGCATCGCCTGAACGCGATCCTCTCCCGGGGTTACCAGGACAAAGAGTGCGGAGCCCACGCCAGCCCACGCACTCACTACTGCAACTGCGATCAGTGCTTTACGCAAGGACCCCATTGCTGACCGCCGGAAGAGCGAGACGACCTCAGGCCGTGTCCCGCATTCTAGACAGACTCGCACCGCGTCTCACTGGCTCCTGTGCGGGCTAGAGCGACCCACAGCAGATACCATAGAGGGGAACGGGCTAGAGAGGACCGATCAGGAAACGTTTAGAATCTAGAGCGCCTGGGTCTTAAGTTTAAATTTGGCGGAGAGGATTGAGCTGTCATGAAGGTTTTGGACCTGGCTGGTGTGGCTCAGTGGATTGAGTGCCGACCTGAGAACCAAAGGGTTGCGGGTCCGATTCCCAGTGGGGTCACATGCCTGGGTTGCAGGCAGGATTCCCAGTGTGGGCGTGCCAAAGGCAGACAGACACTGGTGTTTCTCTCCCTTTCTTCTTCCCTCTCCCCTTCTCTAAAAATAAATAAATACAACTTTTTAAAAAAGGGCTGCATATCATTTCTTTAAACAAACAACAACAAAAAAGGTTTTGACACCAAAGTCCGGAGTGGGAGTGTGTGTTTTTGTTTTGTTCTAATTTTAGAGAGAAACATGGATTTGTGTTCCACTTACTCATTCATTGATTGCTTCTTTTCCTAAGATTTTTATTTATTTATTTTTAGAGGGGAAGGGAGGGAGAAAGGAGAGAAACATCAATATGTGGTTGCCTGTGGAGCCCCACCCCCCTTGCCCCAGCTGGGGACCTGGCCCAAACCCAGGCATGTGCCCTGTCCTCTGACTGGGAATCATATCTGTGACTGTGTGGTTCGCAGGCCTGCGGTCAATCCGCTGAGCCACAACAGCCAGGGCCATTGGTTGCTTTAAAAAAAAATCCTCACCACCTGTTTATTTTTTTTAATTGATTTTAGAGAGAGGAAAGGCAAGTGAGAGAAACATCCATGGGTTACCTACCAGCAGTGCCCCTACCAAGCATGGAGGCCAAATTTACGCATGTGCTCTGACGCAGAATGGAACCTACAACCCTTTGGGGTATGGATGACTCTCCACCCAACTGAGCACCCTGGCCAGGGCTCATTGGTCGCTTCTTGTAGGTGCCCTGACCAGAGATCAAACCTGCAACTCTGGAGTATCAGACATGCTTTAACCTACTGAACTACCAGACCAACAATGTGTGTCTTTGTGGTTGCTGTGGGTTTTACAACTAACTGCCCAGTTCCAACATTTACTTCTATTGATCTATCTCATCAATAGAAGGCCAGGGCAAAAAAGGGGGATGGGGGGGAGGCTAGGGTTGTGGTCTGTGGTCTCCTATAATAACCTGTGGTGTTTCAATACACATAGTAGACATCCAGATACTCGAACACATCAATTCGTCTACAGATTCTCTTCAGCCCCTTCAAGTCCTGAACAAAAACTCAAAGCCAAGTATACTAGGTGTGGAAAAGGGTGTATTCATATATTTCTTTATCTTACTTGCTAATAAACTGGTTACGTCCTAGATGAGTAACTCAGTTGGTTAGAGCATCATCCTGGTACTTCAACATCCCTGGCCAAAGCAGAGACAAGACTCAATCAATAAATACATAAATAAGTGGGACAACAAACTGATGTTTCTCTCTCTCACTAAAAATCAATCAATAAAAAATCTTTAAATAAGAAGAGTTAACGTGTTTAATTTTTCATTATGGTATGCCCTTGGCATTCATACACACACACACACACACACACACACACATAAAGTTCAGATTTTGTGTAACACAAAAAATTCCAATTTGGAGAAGAAAACACCTTAGTTGTGCATGGACAGTTATTTAACATTTAAGTTCTTTGTGCCCTGGTTTTTGCATTGTAAAAGGGAGCTGATAACAATGTCTCATAGTTTTAGGATAATTAAATGAGTTTACACATAGAGCCCTGGCGAATAGTAAATGCCATATAAATATTCATTTAAAGATACAAGGAAATATGCCAATTTGGGAAACCTGGTAAACAAAGGAATAAGGAAGTTATGAGTTTGTTATTAAGGCTCTCACAGGGCTTTAATCCAGATGTCCTTCTTAATATCCCTACTGCCTTTCCTAGTGTCACCAGGGAGTGAGTAGAAATAAAGCTCTTATCCCAGCCTTGGGATTTCCCCCTCCCCTGGGAGGCCCATAATCTCCTGGCATGTCATCCTGCTCTCAGAAGTGATTAAGGAGCCAGGCTCCAAAGAAGATTAAAGGAGCAGTCTGTGGAGTACACTGGGCAGGGGTTCAGAACTCTACTCTGAGTTCAACCACCCCGCACGCTAAAACTCAGCAGCCATGGACCTTGAGCCAGGGAGCAGTGAGGATGGGCATCCAGAAAGTCCTAGGCTGACCACCCCTCTGTGGAAGGACAGAGAAGAAATCGACAGAGATGAAGTTCATCAGGATGCTCAGGTCAGTACTTTCCCACCCTGTGCCCTGCTGCTGGCTCATCCTCCAAGTTAGCCCAAGACCTCTGCTGTCCCCATGCAGGTTGTCTCTCAAAAGACCCAGCTGCCCTCCCTTGTGGTGGAAGCTTCAGAGGTAAGTGAAGAGAGCGGGGAGCTCCGGTGGCCGCATGAGGAGCTGCTGTTGCTCACTGATGATGAGAGAGAAGAGGCCCAGGTCTGCTTCCAGGACCAAAGTGAAGAGCCAGGTGAGGGAGCTGGCAGGTTCATTGGGGCCCTTGTGACCTGGAAGTTCTGGAGAGGACCAAGATGGAAAACTCAGTTGTGTTCATGAATTAAGCAATGCCAGGCACACAGACGTTTAGTCAACAGAGTCAAGAAAAATGTTGAGATGGGAGAGAAAGGTCAGGGTGGCTGCCAGAATTGACCTTTAGAGGACAGTTCCGATGTTGGATAGATCATGTCTTTTTTTTTTTTTTAAGATTTCATTTATTTAGAGGGGAAGGGAGGGAGAGAGGGAGAGAAACATCAATGTGTGGTTGCCTCCTGTGCACCCCAACCAAGGACCTGGCCCTCACCCCAAGCATGTGCCCTGACTGGGAATCGAACCAGCAACCCTCCCACCCACAGGCTGGCACTCAATCCACTGAGCCACACTAGCTAGGGCTCATGTCTTTTAATATGTGTTTTTAGTATTTAAAAATATTTAGTTTGTTGTAGGGGAAAATAGATAATAAAATTACCCCAAATCTAACTACCTAGAGACAGTTAACATTTGAGATGCTTTCTTTTGCAGATATTTTATCATGTCTACATACTGTTATAGAATTTTTTTTTCTTTGAGTATTTACTATGTGCCAGGCACTGTATTATAAACTTACACCTCAAGATTTTCAGCATCCAATGAGGGATATATTTTCCCCTCTAGAGGAAACTGAGGCTGTGAATTTAGGCTTTTCATTATAATTGCCGTATTACTTTATAGGCACAAATTACAAATCCATGTTTGTTTTTTAAATAAAAGGCGAAACATTTGATCTGAAGTGAAACAAGCATCACAAGTTCATTTTATTTTTTAAAAATTCAACGGACCAGAAATATTTTTCATTGTCCATAGGCTCTTTAACTCCCTCCCCCCCACGCAGGCTGGACATGGAGCCCACTGGACCCCAGATCTCCTTTAAGAACCGTTAACCCACAACTCAGCTGGGGGCAGGAACAGGTAGAGCAAGATGCCTGTTGGATTCCTGAGGACGCAGAGTGTCAGGAAGCACCCAATGCCTGTCCGCTCTGGGATCCTACAGGCTTCCGTGTTGGCAGAAGCCAATACATGGAATACCCCCATCTCCTGCCTCCCAGGAGCTTTGAGGGTAAGTTCTTGTTTGTTCTCTCTCCTTGAACATTTCAGCTAGGTTTCTTCATAGAGCAATTTTACCTATCCTTTCACAACTTTCTCCTGTTCCCAGGAGAGGAAAATGAGATTAGAGGCTTGGCCACTGGGTTTGATGAACAATTCTTATCTGCTGCTTCTAGAGAAGTTCCAGTTAGCTGGAGGTGGGGAATGATCCACTTGGATCTTCTCTGTTCAGTACTCATTTTGGGCCTGGGCCTGCTCAATGTTTCAGCTATCGCTGTATGTAATCCATAACCCCAGGTTCCATTCCTACCTTGCTGATGGGTAAACTGGGCACAGAAACCATCAATACTGAGTGCACCCACCTAGGAAACATGGAAGCCAGGACTGAAACCCTCCTTTTCCAGCCATCTTGCAAAGGCAAAGCTCTCTCCACCTCTCCTCACCCAACAAAAACTAGTCTTTAATGGGAGCCTTGAACCAAGTAAGCAAAGTAGGTGATGCCCCTGAAAGGACCTATCTCCTGCACAGTCACAGTCCGGCCTTGGGATCTTTGCTCCAAGCAGGGAAGCCGGACATCCGGGTCCTCATCTGAAAACTGAATCAGGGTCCCCTGGGGGTGTAGGACCCTCAGGCATTCTGACAGCACCTGATAAGCCCCAGGCAGACCACCCCTAGCAACGGCATCCCAGGTGCCCTTGTCCAGTACTAGCTGGAAGGAGCCGGAGGAAGCCACTGGCTCCAGGTTCTGGGCATCAGCCTGCATGAAGTGGAGGCGGGAGGCAGGGTGCCCAGGGCACAGAGGTGTTTGGCCTTGACCACCTTCCAGGACGCTGTTCATGTGGGCCACAGCCACAGGAGAGAAGTCCACCCCCAGCACGTCCACGGGATGTGGGCACTTGGTGTAGAGGCCTGTACACAGGCTGGAAGTCCCACAGCCCACGTCTAACACTCGCAGTGGACAGGCAGCCTGGGACCCCTGCAACAGCGGCAGTAGGAGCCCCTGGACTTCCTCGTACCCAAAGAACCAGTCGAACGTGGGGACACAGCCCAGACGGGGCTGGGCGTGGAGCTTATCCCAGAGGCAGCGGTCCGCCAGGCAGCTACTGGCCAGGGAGCCTGTGGACGGGTGGAAGGCATGTGTCATCCGGAGCCCGAATTCTATCAAACTGCTGCAAAAACAGCGCAGTGTAACCTGGGATTTTAAAAGCCACCCTACAGGGAGTAGACTCCCGGGGCAGGAAGAAACCACCTTGCCCTCCCCGACTCTAGTCCTACCCGCCAAATTGCGGCGCGTCCCAGCAGCCAGGGTCGCCCAGTGCAGGATTCGGCGCAGCGCGGCCATTCGGAGGTGGCGGCAAGATCAGCCAGAGAACCTTCTTTGAAATGTTGCCAGCCCTTCCACGAAGCCTGAGGTTCAAGAGACGATCTGCAAAATCCGCTTTGCGGAATAACGCGTGTAGGCTAACTCTGCAGCCTCGGAAAAGAGCACGCGGGCACACACACACCTACAACGGTATGAACGGCCTTTATTGGTTACAAACGGGAATGGAAAAGGCGGAGATAGGAGAGCTTCGGTTCCTGGGGCGGCTTCGCAGACCTGAAACAAAAGGAGGACGCATGAGTACCCCGTGGAGCAGCCCGCAGAACTTCGGTTTTGCCCGGCTTTTTCTAGATCAGTGTCCCGGCGCTTGAGGATAGAACCGGCGGACTGGAAACCGTCGGCACCGAAGACATGACGCCGAGGGGGCCGGAGCCCCTTTCCTCTGCCTCCGTACATTACGGGGACCGAGACCGCAAGCCCGACCCCCGCCAAGAAGAGGAGGGTCCGCAAACCCCGCCCCAAACCGTCACACGCCAGGTTACCAAACTAACACCAGACTCACTCTGCGATGATCCTCGGAAAGGTTGAAGAGCGGGCTGAGCTCCTTTATATAGCAGCCGGGCCCGCCCCCGAGCCACGATTGGCTTGCGGAGGGCTGAGGGGCGGGGCCCATACGGACCCAGCGTGGAGCGGAAACGCAGACCCAAAGACGGCAACGCTGCTCAGCCATGGGTGGTCCGGGAGGGAAGATCAACCGGCCCCGAACGGTGACTGTGTGGGAGCGCCGACTTTGTTTCCGAAGTGTCCCGGAGCTCTCTAGTCCTGCCCGAGATGGGATCGATAGGCCAGAGTCGCCGGGTGCGGGGATCCCGGGTCGGGGTGCGCGGCCTCCGTATAATTAGCATCTTCCTTCCCTGCAGGAGCTGAAGAAGAAACTGTTCAAGCGACGGCGGGTGTTGACTCGGGAGCGGAGGCTGAAGCACCGAGTGGTCGGGGCTGTGATAGACGAAGGGCTGATCACGAAGCACCACCTGAAGAAGCGGGCGTGAGTGCCAGACCCTGGGTCCTCCCCACTGAGTCTCCTTTCTTGTTTTGGCCGAGCTCCGGAGTCGCTAGCACCTCTCTGCTTCCGTAGTGCACTCGCGTTTATGCAAGGAACGTGTCTGCTGTGCTAGTGCCTTAAGTCTTCTAGCCTCTCACTATACCGGCACCTTACAGCCTTTCTTTGGGTCTTGGGCCTCACTGAGAATCTTAAGGAGAGCTGTCGACTCTCCCATCTCTGAACATAGATTTTTATAAGTAAATTTTAAAGCGCACACAGAAATGTGCATACAACTAGATGAATTTTCCGAGGCACATGTGGGGTTTTGCATATAAGTTTCAGGGGCGCCGGGGCCTTGGGGAAGAGTTCCCATCCCATCCTTTCATCGACTTCTTTATCAATATTTGCAGAGTTTATAATAAGAAAATTTCTGGGTTTTGTCCCTGGTTCCTGGCACAGAGCTCCTAAAACCTTCAGACAGATAGCAGTGTCTTTTTATTTCCTTAGGAGCCCCTTCTGAGCATACCTAAATTTATACTAATGAATGACAGGGTGGGACTGGTCACCAGAAAAACCCAGTGATTAGAGGATCAGAAAATTAAGCCTCACCCCGCCTCGCTGCCTCTCGACCTCTAAGAGGTAGGGCAGGAGCCGGTGCGGGGTGCTGGCTATTAAGCTCTACGAAAACTCGGGAACAACAGATTAGGTGAGCTTCCTGGTTGGTGAATTGGTGGAGGTGCTGAGAAGGCAGCTTACTTGGACAGGGCATGGAAACTTCGGTGGAGGAGGGGTATAAGAGGATAAAATGGTAATGGGCAAAAAATGCAATAAAGATTAAATCAAAAAGAAAAAAGGAAAGAAACTTCTGGCCTCTTCCCCATACCTTGCCTTCTGCTTCTCTTCCATCTGGCTGTTCTGAGTTGCATCCTCTTATAATAAATCGGTAAATGCAAGTAAATGTTCCCTGATTCTATGAGCTATTCCAACAAATTGTGGAGTCTGAAAAAGGGGTGAGAACCTTGATTTATAGCAGGTGGGTCAGAATGCGGGTAACAATGTGCTATCTCCAGGTGAGTAATGTCAGAGTTGAATTAAATTTGTAGGACACTGTTAATAACTGTTGAGAACTGAAGAATTGTTTGATGTGAGAACCCCCCCCCCCCCGCCACCACACACACACCCCTACCTCAGGTGTCAGAAGTATGGAGAATAGAGTAGAAAAATAGTTTTCCCTTAGAAGTTTCTACAATATACTAACATTTAACATTAAATATTTGTTCAGTTTAAACTCACTCCCTTAGGGCCTTGCTTTTCAAACAGTTCTTTGAAGTGGCCAGACCTTTTCAATAGCTAAAACCACTTCTGTGGTTTCTGTTGGTTCTGGCTAACCTGGACCTTTGCTCCTACCGACCCTTCAGGTCCAGCGCACGTGCCAACATTACTCTGTCCGGGAAGAAGCGCAGAAAACTCCTCCAGCAGATCCGTCTTTCCCAGAAAGAGAAAGCAGCCATGGAAGGTGAGGGTGGGACACCGAGGGGGGTTGGCGAGGGGGCAGCCTGGATCCACTTGGGTTCTTGAATGCTTCTTTTTTCTCTTTGCTCAGTGGAAATCTCTGCAAAGCCAGCCAGGACTAGTGAACCACAGCCCAAATCTCAAAAGAAGACCAAAGCCCCCCAGGATGTAGACATGGAGGACCTTGAAGAAGGGAGCTGAATCTTACCCCTTGCACCAGAAGATTCTCAGCCGGAGCCAGGAGGACTCAGTGGTTGTTTCAGAACAGTTTTGAGTAAACATTGCACGTTTTCGCTCGCCCCAGACTCCTTTTCATAATGGCCTAGTGACCTGCTATGGAAGGAGGTGTTGAGAGAAGAGTGGAAAAGAAAGATCAGAGAGAGGGCTTCTTAGTAGTCAGCGTTGTTTGAAATAAAGCCCTCGAGTTCTCGCTGAGATGTGTGTGATTAAATGTAGGGATGGGGACGGGCCATGAACAGGAGTCTGTGAGTACAGAAAAACGCAGTTGGGAAAGGGGACCCCAGAGTATACCTGAGCAAAAGCATCAAGAAGCCAGCCTCTGGGACAGCCCTGTCTCTCTAGTGAGCGACACTCTAACTTTTCATTTGTGAACAAAATACAGATTATTGTAGAGATGGCAAAGGAAGTAAGGGTCCTGATACCAGCCCCACCACGTCTGTGTGACCAGGGTGGGCAAGTCACTTTATATCAGATTTGTCGCTGTTTCCTTTGCTGGATTACCTTTTTAATAAAGTGAAGACCAAACGTTATTTTTCCCTTTTAATTTTCAGAAACTTTTGGAAGCCACAGCTGGGGTGTTTAATTAATGTGAAAAGCTGCCTGTGTGGAGGTGTGTTTGGGGAAAAGCGTGTTCTCTGCGCCCCCTTTAATCAGTGCATGCTTCCTGGAAGAGGGAGGGTCTGGGCCCAGAGTCACAACTTTATGTTTTGAATAATACCAAACTTCTAGTGAATTTAAGAGATCAGTACTCTAACTTCCGGTGAAGTTAAGAGATTAGTACAATGAACCCTTATATATGCATTCTACCTGGATTTACCAATTTGCAACACTTTTCACTTGTTTTATCTCTTTCTACACATTTGCAAATGTGTATGTGTATGGATATGTACCTTTGTTGTCTTTGCTGACTCATTTGAAAGTCAATTGCAGATGACATTCCTTCGCTAAATGTTGCTATATTTCTATAGAGCAAAAATACTATGATCATGCCTAAGACTTAACAGTAGGGAAATAGCTAACACTCAGTTTTTCATATTCAAATTTCCTCAGTTGTCCCAATAATGTTCTTTATAGATGTTTTTTCCCCCTTAGTCAAGAGACCAGTCAAGGATCCCATTCCATTCCATTGTCGTATTTCTTTAGTTTTCTATGAATTGAGAACAGTATCCTTTCCTGGCCTTAGATGTCTTTGTGTTTTTGGAAGAGTTCAGCCTCATATTTTTTTTTCTTTAACAGTGTCCTACAACCTAGGTTTGAGTGTTGTTGTATGTTTTCTCATAATTAGGTTTAGGTTAACCATTTTGGGGGCAAATTCTGCATAGATGATTCTGTTTTATTTTTCATTGCATCACATCAGGAAGTACAGTGGACCCTTGAACCATATGGATTTAAACTACACAGGTCCACTATATGTAGTTCTGTTTCAGTTAATAGTGTAGAGGTGTTTTCCTTATGATTTTCTTTCTTTTAAGATGCATTTCTCTTTTGTAAATTGTTGGTCAGTTTCCTCATTTTTCTCCTATTACTCTCCCCTGCCCTCCCCTTCCCGCACCTCCCACATTCAATCCTCCCCCCCTTGTCTTTGTCCATGTGTCCTTTATACATGTTCTTTGACCCTTCCCCTTTTCCCCCCCGTTGATACTCTTTTTTTTTTTTTTTAAGATTTTATTTATTTTTAGAGGGGGAGGGAGGGAGAAAGAGAGAGAGAGAAACATCAATGTGCGGTTGCTGGGGGTCATGGCCTGAACCCAGGCATGTACCCCGACTGGGAATCGAACCTGTGACACTTTGGTTCGCAGCTCGAGCTCAATCCACTGAGCTATGCCAGCCAGGGTGATACTCTTTTCTTTGTATTGAATTTATTGGGGTGACACTGGTTATCAAAATTACACAGATTTCAAGTGCACAATTCCACAACACCATCTGTATACCGTATTATGTGTTCACACCCAAGTCACGTCTCTGCCCATCACCATTTATCACCCTCCCCCTCACCCCACCCCCCACAATCACCACACTGTTGTCTGGATCCAGGAGTTTTTTCTTTTTTTGCTCAATCCCTCTGCCCCTGCCACCAAGCTTCTTATGATTTTCTATTTTTATGCATTGATTTTTAGATAGGGGAAGGAAGAGAAAGTGAAACATCGATGTGTTGTTCCACTTATTTATGCACTCATTGGCTGATTCTTGTTTGTGCCCTGACCTGGAATCAAACCTGTAACCTTGACGAACCAAGAAGATGCACTAACCAACTGAGCTACCCGGCCAGGGCTCCTTATGATTTTCTTAGTAATATTTTCTTAAGCTTATTTATTGTCAGAATACAATATATAATACATATAGCATACAAAGTATGTGTTACATGACTTATCAGTAAGACTTCTGGTCAGCAGAAGGCTGTGATTTAAGTTTTGCAGGGAGTCAAAAGTTATATGAAGGTTTTTTACTGTATGGGGGACAAGGGGCCAGTGCCTCTAACCGTCACATTCAAGGGTCAACTTGAATGCAATGCCAGTTTGTCTCATTACTGGTAGAGACTTGCTTGAGTGGGTGTAAGATCTCTCCACTGTTAAGGTATCCTTTTCCTTTGTAGTTAATAAGTAATCTGTGGAGTGATACTTGAGATTGTATGAATATCCTATTGCCCAAAGACCCAATGGGTTTAGCATCCACGATTATTTTCACCTGAATTAGTGCTGCAAAATGGTGATTTTCTAATTCTATCATGCATTCATATTATTCAACATACTCGACATTTTTAGTGACTGCCGAATTCTCTATAAAGAAATCACCTCCCTCCTATTTCATTTATTTATTTTTAGAGATAAGGGAAGGGAGGATAAAAAGAGACATCAATCCCTTGCCTCTCACATGCGCCCCACTGGGGGGCTGAACCCGCAACCCAGCCAAAGTGGCCTGACTGGGAATTAACAGCAACCTTTCACTTTGCTAGACAACACTCAACCATCTGAGCCATGCCAGTCAGGGCCCTCCCTTCTATTTTTAACATCGCTATGGATTTAGATTGTTTTTCAATGTGTTATAATTCATTACTATTGCTTTTTCATGCTCAAAATGATACCAAGTTTGACCAGCAGAAGTCTTTTCAAGGTGATCTGTGTCCTTTTGACACAACACCATCAGTCTCGGGCATTTCCTCGCTTTCTGCCACAAGGGGATGTTTCAGCCTCACCTACTATTTACCCTGGCCTAAAATTTGGATCAGCCATTTTCCCAGGGGGACAGTATTATGTCCAGTTTTAAACACAGGAAGAAAAAGTACTTGTTTGAGAATGAACTATTCAGATGCCATAAGGAGAGGAGGGAGAAGGAAAGACATTCAACATCTCAGTATGCCTGTCCTTCATAATTTTGTTCTCCCTGTGCCTGGAGTGGGAAAGAGCTTGCTATGAAGAATTTCTGTGTCTGGCATTACGCTAAGTCCTTTACATAAATGATCTCAAGTGATCTTTGCAAAATGTCAGAGATAGGAGACATCATGCCCACTTTACAGATCAAAGAACTAGCTCCAAAGGACTGGACCACTTGCTCAGGGTTACTTTGTGAATAAATAGCAGACGTGAATCCAGATCTAATGCCAAAACAAGCTCCCTTACAATGTGAAATCCTTAAGGGCAAGGACCACATAAGTCTCATAGCTGAAAGAACTCATCTGATTCAAAGGCCTACTTTCACAGCTCAAAAGTCAATGCCCAGAGAAGGGAAGTGTTAGGTCCAAGTTTAGGCAGAACTAGGAGCAGAAATTATCTCATATTTACTGTCTTAGAACAGTTCTTGCTAGTAGGTAGGTAGTATATGCACTTTGGGAGTAATTGAACTTCTAAAATTTAAGGAAAAATGAATAATTAGTCTTTTAAAACACAATCACTTCAAAAGTACCTTAGGGGCATACCATCTGCTGTTGTTCTAACTTTCACTTCCATTGAGAACAATGAGCCTAATTAACACAGGCCTCAGAACCTACTTTCCTTTTCATTTATTCAACCAACTATTTATTAAAAACCTACTAAGTGTCAGGCAGATACTGTTGTAGATGATGAAGATCATAGTCTTTAACAAAATAGCAAAGGCCTTGTTTTCAAAGACCTTATTTTCTGGAGTTCATTGAACAAATATAATAAAAATAGCTAATGTTTATTTAAGTGTTTGCTTACCGTACTACCTGGTTTCAATTTTCACAACTCTGTGAGGTAGTTGTATTACCATCCCCATTTCCAGAAGAGAAAACAGTCGTAGAAAAGCTAAGTACCTAGCCAGTAAGTGGAATACCTGGGAGTTACATAGACCGGCTGGAGTTGGGGGAGGGGGTCTTGATAAGGTGTCCTAGCTTCGTACATAGTTACCAAGCTTCCTTTCTGCACGTATGGGGATGTGGGGTACAGGTAAGTAACCGCCCTGGGAGGTGGAGGAGACAGCAGAGCCTAAACAACGATTATAGGACCAAGTTAGAACTTGGAGCACAACTTCAACCTAGTCAGTCCAATTTATTTCGGGCTTTCTCTCCCTCCTCTCTTCTTTCCTTCATCTTCTCCTATGAATTTTCTCTTTTCTGTTTCCTGCTTTCCCTATTCTCTTCACTCCTTAACTGCTATTTACATCAGTCCTGTCTTGAATAAAATGTCTCCTAAGGAGGTGTTTCATTTTGTTAAAACCTCGTGAAGTCGAATATTTTGCATTTTGGGCTTTAGAAAAAAAATAACTGAAGTCAATCGTGAATGGCAGCAGCTAGCAGTAGTCTGTGTATCAGTGCAATGGCTTTGTGCAGGACGTGGCGGGGGGTGGGGGCTGGGGCGGGGAAGGTTCCATTGAGGGCGGGTCGGCTTCCTGCTGTCATCGTCCTAATTCTGCTCCTGGATCTTGTCACGGGCGGAACCAATGTAAGAGGGTCGCGGGCGTCGCCGGATCGGTTTTCTTGAGCAACCCCGCCGCCTTTTCCTTTCGGGTTTCCCGTCAGTGCGCATGCGCTGCTTGCGCTCTGCCGCTCCCGCCTCGGGCTCCGGCTAGGAGGGCTCCGGGATGTCCGCGTTGTGCGACCCTCCCGGGGCCCCAGGGCCTCCCGGGCCTGCCCCGGCCACCCACGGTCCCGCGCCGCTCAGGTAGTCAGAGCCCCTGTCATCTTCCTTCAGCGCGCCGCCCCGCGCCAATTCCCCAGCCTTCTCGGCGGAAACCCGGAT